CTTTCAGACCTTAAAAATTAAAAAAATTTTAGAGACTGGAGAACGCGATAAAAGTAATACGTATGTTCCTCAAAATATTTGTAAAAATCCACACTGAAGACAGAAAAGTATATCACAAAATGTGTTATCGACGCCTTAAATAATCCCAAAATCTTTCAACAAATTAAATACATATCGCAAATATCGTCACAATATCCAATTAAACTTTCTTTTGTCGATCTGTGGCATTGAATCATTAAAGAAACCATTTAAATAGAATTACTAATTTTCCAGCCAAGCAACTCGTAGTAGTATGTATGTACAAAGAAATGCTTTCATAGTTTTCCACGGCTTGCTGAAATTTGAAAAGCCCATTTAATCGGAGACTTTCGCACTTTCGGGAACCAGATCTTCAAAGGCGATTCTGATTCTACGGAATTCTTATGGGTGTTTTTGCATAACCAGCGCTATTGTGTTTTGCCGAGCAGTGAAATTCGAAGCCGGTGGAGGATGTGGGGAGGTTGTGCCCAAATACGATTCCCCAGTACGGCGTCATCCATCTTCCACTTGATGCGGTGCCATTTAATGCCTGGCGAGCAAAATAAACTTCTCTGGAATGAAACTGAAATGCCACCCACCGAGGATGCGAAAAATAAACCCCCTTGGAAAACCAAGTCGAGTCGGCAAAAATCATATCCCATCGCACTCATTTCGCTTGGTCGGCAAACTGGTGGCAGGCAGTGTCAGTATCCACATATGTGTTTGGCCATTTGTTGACATCCAAACTGCAATCCGAACCGAACCAGAGTTTTATGCTTTCATTTAATTCTTTGCCAATGTTGTGTTGATGTTTAAACGAGCTGCCCGCAGACGAGGCACAAGTGACACATGGAACATTTGTTTTTATGTTTTTTATGAAATCAATTCGAGATGTCACATAAAAAAGAGAACTTTTTGCGCCACCAAAAATATATATTTAATTAGGCGTATTTATAGAAGTAATATTAAACATATTACATATTTTTGAAAGAGCAGGATTTTATCATGTAAGCAATTATATTTTGTAGAGCAGGAAATATTATCTAAGTACATGTCCTCTCGTTAATGATGTTTAAAAAATTAATCTAATGTGCAATAATATCTTATATACATATACAGTATTTTCTCATGTAAAAGATTACATTTGTAAAAGTAAAACTATGGGAATAATTCCTCAATAATTTATTTTGGAAAATTAAGTGTTTGAAAATTATTAATATATTTGTTCATGCCGAAAATTGATTTAACTAGGTACATATCGGTACCATCAAATCTTATTTTCCTCCATGAAATAATTTTTAAACGTGGGCTGAGAGTGTATATGTAATTTCAACCGAGCTCATTTCTTGAAGCAAACAGCTCAAAAACATACAAAAGTCAAACCGGCAAAGAAAATAACAACAATTGTTAGCTGAGCCGGCTAAGGCAACAAATTAATAAAAGGCCATGACAACAATCGAGCAACGGAAAATCAACAAATTCGAGTCAGTAATATCCAGCCCACCTAGCGAAATAATTTAGCAAACATAAAACTAACAAAATGTGTAAAAACCAAAGAAAACACAACCGAAATCGAACTAAAAATGCCTTAAATAACCGGTTGAAAAGATCGAATTTGGGATTTGTCTGGCCATTATTTAAAAGCAATAAAACAATAAATTACAGTATGAGTGTGAAAGTTACTTCATTTGAATACAAATTAAAATCACATCGTTTAGATTCAAATAATTTCAATTAACATTTTACAACCTTTTAGATAATGCTTACATAAATAAACTATTAAGTGGATCATTTGTAAACATAATTCAACAAATTGAAGCACAGAAAAGGCACTCAAGTTCGTTAAGTCGTTCAAAAACATATTTTCTAAGAAGTGTGTTCATATTATGTGCATTTTCATCTCAATTGCATTATTACCCCTCTTATAAGTTAGTGTATAAATGGCAATATGTATTCGTAATCCAAGTCAAACGTTGATTTTTTGTCTTGAACTTAGCTTTTTGCTTTTTTTCCGCCTTCCTTTGTTGTTTGCCCTTTTTTCTGATCTCAGACACGTTCCACTCGCGTTTGAAATTTCGCAGCCCAAAAAACAAAAAGCCAAAAAAAAAAAGAAAAGAAAACACAAATAAAAAAAACGTATAAAGAAGAAATAAAAAAAAGGTAATATAAGCCCCGAACAAGTTCTCGGGTAAATAATTAAATATGTATCTTGACTCTTTATATTCGCTGGTTATTTGTGTATTTAGCCGGGCTATTCATTCACTGGCCTTGCCATTCCCAAGTGATGCCAATTTGAGCAATTTACATACATAATTCCAGTCGCTGGGAATGGGTTTTGTGGCCCAATAGTAATAGTAACCACATTTAGACGTCATAACATCTGGCGGAAACTCGCAGGCATTATAATACTGTAATTACAGTCCACTTTCCACTGTTGAGCCGCGGATTTTCTTTTTCACTATTTTCAGCTTTACTCAGCTGGTCTTTAGCTGAAATGGACATAAAGTGACATAAGTAGTGCCAGTACATGGGGTACAAAATGGAGATACAGGCCTTCTGGCAGGATATTATTGTTTTACTTTCATATATGTGAGTTAGAATCACATATATGTAAATAGTTGCCGACTTATAGAGAAATCAAATTTCAGATAGAATACGGAAGAACCCGTCCTTATGAAGTGCATTGCCAGCCAGCTGGGAGTTCACAGTGGTTGCATCGCAATGTGGCAGCCACGCCCCAAAAAGGAAAAGGCAAAAGAAACGCGCAACCGAACTTTCGCAACTGGCCGCCCCGCCGCTTAACCCTTGTCAGCCGCAGCCACCACAAATGACCCACTCACTCGAGAATCGAGTGAATCGTGAGTCGGGAATCGGGAATCCCTCTCTTTGCGCCTGTCTGAGCTGCTTTTTATGGAAACCGGCTAAATTCCATTTGATTTGGAAGTCGGGCCAAGAGCCAGAGCCTCGTCTTCTTGTCATCATTTCTCGGCTTGCCTTTGCTTTTCTTTTCCCTCTTTCTCTGCACGGCAAGAAATACTTTTTATTTTCCCCCACATATCACTAGTTAGCGGTCCAAAAATGCATTGCTGATCCATTAACATATTGCCATTTCTGTGCTCAACTGGTTTTTCGCTTTGAAGTTGGCTGCCGTCTTTAAGGTGCGATAAAAAATCTCGTATATTGTGGATTTCCATATTTCATCCAAACTTGAAAAAATGCTACAATTCTGATGAGTAAGTTAAAGCCCACAGAATAATCTTATCTTTTTCTTCTTCCTTCCTATATTGCTTAAATATTGTTTATCTTAACGTTTAAATAAGGGTAAACTAATGTAGAGTGCTAAGTGCAAGGAACTTGTTTTTTTACACTAGATAATTTTGAGATAGGTTTTCGGAAAAATTATGATTATTCTTTTTTCCGCTTCGTTAATATGCTTTCTGTTGGATTCAGTGAAGTTATTTACTGGTAAATCTAGGGATCTTATCAGCTTCATTGTTACTAAGACAAAAACCCTACATTTCCCTTGTTGGTTACAAAAACAAAACAAAATATCTCCAATCAGAAAATAAAATCCTTTAAAACAATGATTTTGGCGCCAAAACTGTGAGAAGCGTTCACCTAATATTTCACGATTTATTTTAATGTTTTTGTGTACTCTCTACTTTACTGGATATATTCCTATTGGAGTTGCTCTCAGACTTTGGCTAGGTGATTTTTTTCAGTGCACTGCATTTCACTTCGACTGTCAAGGGCGTTTTCTTTTCTACTTTGGGATAAACAGTTACTTTCGGGATTGCAATATTGTTGCATTTGCTCTGAAATTGTTTATATGCAGGGCAATACTTACTTTACAACTTCCGGCGTCAACTGTTGCTGCTTGTTGTTGTTGGGCTGTTGTTGGCTGGAAGTGTCACGGTGCTCCTCGAATTTGCATTCAATAATAACAAAAACAATGAACACACGAAATAAAAAGCCGCGCAAACAAACAAAAACACACACGCACACACACACACACCCGTGTGTGTGTACACACGCACACTAGTGCTCGAAACGAGTTTATTTGCTGCACACAACAACACCAACAACAACAACAAAGGCGAAAAGGAAACCGCAAGCAGCCAAGGATAAAATGCGATTTGCAATTAAATTCCACCGCATCGCCAGCATCGCATCGTCCGGTGGTCGATTTTCTCTCAGTGCTGAATGGAAGGCAGCGGGCGAGCCAGTGAACGCAAAAAAAAAAACAAAACAAAACAAAATACGGCGAAAAAAGGTAAATAAACGCACGAAACGCCGACGAAGGAACTATTTACAAAATCTTCTCACTTTTGAACCGAATTCAGCAACGCAACAACACAAACTACTCAAGCGGGCAGTGTGACCGCGCTGGTAAAAGTTAGAAATGCCGCAGGGCACAAATTAATACCGCTGAATACTAATTTGCTCAGCGAAAATACCATTCGTGTACCGCCTAAATAATTAAATATTCTTCCGACATTAAATAAGTCAAAATATAGTTATTTTAATAATAAACAAATGACTTTTTTATAATAGTGATAATTAATGATCATTGGCTTTATAGGTTTCGTATTTATTGAAGCTCATTTGCACATCTCTAGCGGTTCCTTAGCACAGACTCCAATCCGTGTTGATAACTTCGATGGAAATTAGGTTGAAAAGTGGGGTGAAAAAGGGTATTTGGCGCGATTTTTAAACATAAACTAATTTAGTTTTCACTTGTTACAATAATTAAAAGTTGCTAGTAAGCAACATTATTGCTTCAACTTTAATAAAATTGACATAAATAAATAGAAATACACCATATGTTTAAATTATAACCTTTCTATTGCGTTTTATAAGCACACGAGGAAATTGTGTAATACAATTTGCTTGCAAGTCACTTTAAATTATATTAATAATACCTTTAAGAATGTGAAATTTACAAATAATTCCAAAACAACCCTGAACCAGTTCATATAAGCGCCGATTGCCCGTTTTTTCAACATCAAAAAAGATAACGTTTTCACATCACTAGGAAGCACTAATAAATCATCATTACTGGATTTTTCCATTATTTTGAACAGTTGAAGAACAAGCCAGAAATAATAGAAATGCCGGTGAGTAAAACACATCGCCTTACGCAGCTGCAAATGAGTAGTTTCCTAACAAAATGTCCGCAAATGAATTGACCCACAAAACCGTGAATTGAACCGCCCATTTCTTTACATGGATCGCACAGGCGTTCCACTCGGAGATTACGGATTACCAAGCCTCGGTGGGCAACATGGCCATTCTACCGCTACGCACTAAAGTCCCAGGACCAGCGCCCAATGTTGACATTCCCAACGACATCATCGATGAGTCACTGTACTACTGGAAGTCGAACATTTTCTTCAGCACATACGAAGTTAAGGTTGGTAGCCGAAAAAAGAAATGAGCACCAGAGGTAAAGCGAAGTGATATTCTTAATTCTAATTTTAAAGTAAAGATTCATTAGGAAGGTGGCACAACGTGTAAAATATTTTGAAACAATATTTAAGCCTAGCTAAAGACAATTTAATAATGTTAAAACAAATGCCCTATCTCGCCGCTTGTATTTGTAGAAATATGTCACTGCAATCAACCTGATAAGAGTTGACTTTTTGTTTTTACCGCTTTGGTTTATGGTTTTCCAAGTTTGCTTTTTTACATGTCATGTATATAATAACTCATTTTTTTTTTTAACAAAATGCATAGCCAAAAGCGTTTAGTTAAATTAAATTATTTCTTCTTAAGATCTTAAATTAGCTTTGCAAGCTTGGAAGTTTTTTTTAAGTTTTTTTAAGAAAAGTTTTTAAAGAAGTTTGTTTAAGAAAATGCATAGCCAAAAGCGTTTAGTTAAATTAAATTATTTCTTCTTAAGATCTTAAATTAGCTTTGCAAGTTTGGAGCCTTCCAACTCTGAAAAGTTTTTATAAATATGTCCATGTCCTATATTTTACAATATTGTTTCTGTATATACCATACGTTATATGTATATCTAATCGCAGTCGGAAGTGGACAGGGTGCTTATCTACATAACGCTCTACATCACGGAGTGTTTGAAGCGATTGGTCCACTGCACAATGAAATATCAGGGTCAGCAGGAGCTCCATAGGCTGGCCACCTCGTCGTTCGATATACCCGGCGATGCAGGCTTCCCGCTGAATGGTATATACACGAAACCCGACAATCCGGAGCTTATGCGTCAGTATTTCCAGCAGTTGCGACAGGAAACCGGAATCCGATTGGTGGAAAAGGTCTTCGATACGAAGAATGGAGCGCCGAGCAAGTGGTGGCTATCCTTTGCCAAGAAGAAGTTCATGGGGAAGAGTCTCTCGGGACCGTGAATAAAGAAGTTATAATACACAAGTGTATAAATTTATTATTGACTGTATAAATTGATTATTGACTATAAGTTGTAGACTTCCTAATATACTGCCGATTTTGTTAGCAATTACTAGCAAGAAGTTTTCAAGTAACCTGTTTTGAAAGTATTAAATCGTATAATTCCTTGTGGAAATTATGTTATGTTTATTGATTTAAACGCTCTCAAAAGCGCATATTCACATTGTAAGCGAACTTAATGTTAAACATTGTTTGCTGCATGCTAATTAATACTTTATGAAAATCTCACTATATTTATAAAATCGATGAATAGCATTTATTACATATGGTGTTAGCGATCATTTGCAGGCTCTCACACAATCGAAGCCTCATTGGTAATCAATCATTAAAATGGGTTATAGCTGCAGATCATTTTTCTTTATGCCTCGTTTCGTTTTTGGTGCCAAACATTTCTTTATACATACGCACAAATGCACAGCTTACAACTAGCAACAAAACAAAAACAAAAAAAAAAAAAACAAAAAAAGTAGTGGAAAAATACACAAATTAATCTTACAGTAGAGCAGGGCAAAGCATTCACATAGTTTCACGGAATGACAGCATTATTTATGTACAACAAGTACCTGCTAGCGATTTAGGCCTACTTAAACTCCTTGACGATCTCCACGATGCTCTGGTAGGTGCCAGTGACGATTCCCAGCACGGCCACCGTCAGGATGAGTATGTTCTTGATGTAGGACCACACCCCCAGCGCCTTGGGAACCTGCGCCCGCGTCACGAAGTCGATCAGCACCGGAATCACGAAGGCCAGGCAGGTGGAGCACAGTGCTCCGATCAGCGAGATGAACAGATTTAGCTTGGGAACGACCAGCGCAACGCCAACTGGAAAAACCATATGTCAAGGAGATTCTGAATGGCGTAAAATGCATAGCAATAATCACTTAATACAGATGGAATGACTTGGATTCCATTCCCAATTCAAATGTAATTTGTATATTTGCATATCCACTTACATGTCATCATCACCATGAAGAACCGAAGGCACACCTGCATAGTAATGGGATACTTTTGAGCGCACTTGTTGGACCTTTTTAGTGGGGGCCACAGGATCTTCATCATCACGAAGAACTGGATGGGGTAGCCTAGGAAAACACCCAGTGCAGCGATCACTTTCACCACCTGCGAGAATCTGCAATGCAATCAGTAAATTGAATATCGCTTGTAAATTGTTGCACAGATATAAAATAAAGTCAATATTTTGCCACTTGGCCCCACTTGGTGGCTCTACTTACACTTCCTCCACCACCAGATTCAGTGTTATGCTGCCGGCGACTTCCTCGCCCCAGCGCACATAGCTCACGAATCCGGTGAAGATGAACAGGGCCGTGGTGAAGAACATCGTCGAGTTGAGGACTCCGAAGCGGGAGCTGAAGTTCTCCGGGCGGCGCATCGAGTTCCGGAGCGGCAGGATCAGGGCGATGCCCTCGTACGAGAACAGGGCGGTGCCAAAGAACAGGGACAACTGGGCTCCGCCCGTGAAGAGGTGCCTGTCCCCAACGGGCGGCATGGGTCCATCCGAGAAGGCAATGGTCAAGGTGGCAATCAGGCCGAAGAGCAGGGCCACGTTGGCGAACAGCGACACGGGTGAGATGTACTTCAGGTTGGTCATCAGCGAGGGAATCATCGCCGGCAGCAGGGTGATCAGCATCACCATGCTCATGCTGATGTCGATGCCGTTCTGCTGGAGGACCTGGATGCAACAAATACATATTACTGCTTAAAAATATATTTATTTTCTAATATTTATGCCTCTACTGATTGTTCCAGAAAATGTGTAAAATATCTAAATATGATGTGAGTCAACCAGTAATCGCAAAACATATTTCAAATATGCAGTAATCATACTTTTTCAGCTCTCCAAAATACTTAAATATTAAGTTCATACATTTGTGTGGCTTGTATTACTATTTTAGGTGCAGAAGTGTATTAACTCATTCGTAGTAAATTGCACTTACTATGTTATGTAACCCGTTTTCAGAGCTTTGCGATGGCATATTAATTTTTTGATAATTTTTTTTTAATTTAAACAAATACAACATTTTTCTTTAGATAACGTGTAATGGTTTTTACGCACCTGGTGCAGGTTTTCCGTGATGAAGACGAAGTAGATGGCGCAGAAGCCGAACTGCGTGACGCAGAGGAACATTTCGACGACCAGCTTCATCACGCGCGACATTTTCCGCAGTGGGCGTGGCCCGTGCTCGAAGCACTTCTCCACCGTTTCCGGATAGTCGAGGAAGTCCACGCCGGGCGTCCGTTCCACGGCCAGCACGGAGCCGCGGATCAGCATGCGCTCGCAGTGGACGCACATCACCGCAATGATGGGCAGCAGGATGGTGGCGCCCGCCAATCCGCCGTTCTTGAAGCAATCGCCCATGGCGAAGAGTCCGGCGCCCACGCTTCCCTTGAAGAGATGCGTGGCCGCCTCCAGTTCGCTGGTTTCGTGGCCACGCCGGCGCACCGGATCGCCGTTCTCGAGATCGTCCCCCTTCTCGGCCAGCTTCTCCGCACCCTTCTCCGTGAAGCGCTCCGGATTCTTGTCCAGACTCTTCTCCACGTTCTTCTCGCTCTGTCTTCCGGTTATTTCCAGTGTCCTGCCCATTTCGCCACCTGCTTCGATCGCCTTTTGTTCGCTGCGCTGCTGTTGCTGTGGATTAAATGGGAAATTGTGAAAAAACCTCTCTTCACGGCAAGCTTTAACGGTACTTGCGTTCTCGCGGGGGAGCGAGAAGGATGGTCAGAGAACGATAAAGCACAGTTAGGTCTCTCTTTGGCATTATCTTTGGCATTAACCCTAGGTAGGCCCACATACATAAGAACAACTATTGAACAGTGCTTCAACGTTTCAACCAATATTATTTCAGTCTCGCTCGAAGATTTAATAAGTGCAAAGCTTTATGGTGCAAATAATAAACAAATGAATATTTAAATTTATTACATTTTTCAATTTATTTATATGTGAACCTATAGGCAATCAATAAAATAATAAATTTAGTTCGTGGCATTTAAAATGCTGCCACATATGATAAAAGATTTACCATTGGCTACGCGCTAAGTCGCATGAAAAACTGAATGCCAATTAAATACGCTCAATTCATTATAATTCACATCGTTTTTAGACCACTTCACGTCAATGACAAAGCTAATAAAATCACAAACATTTGATTGCTTCCTCAGCGGATCTTTGTGTTTTACCAAAATTAGCATATTTTTAGTGGCTACGATTTAAAATTCAATTTTTTAACGGTTAACAAGTAGCCAAAAAAAATCTGTACAAGCTACAAAATGCAAAACATTTTTCACTTAGTCCCTGATGAAATTCAAAGGCACTTTTTTTTACTCATCTATAATTTACGAGCGTAAAACCTACGAATATCCATTCTTGTAGCGCACACTGAATATAAAAAAACTAATTATTGTCGTGATCTCAGGGGTGAGTAAACAAAACACTTTTAACAACCGGAATGGTAAAAAAAAATAATTAACACGCCAAGGCCACAACACTTAATTATTCACAAATCCAGAAAGCAGTATGCACTGCAATCATAATTATGATTACTAGACACACTTGCTCGTAGCACAGACTTTGCAGCATTAGTTACGCCGATCGCGATTAGCGATTTGATTTGATTGAACATTAATTATTCGATCGTTCGGCGATAATCACCTGTTGCTGGTTATTGAGTACAAGTATCGGGTATATCGCGTATATCGGGTGTTTCTGTGAATCGCCGCAATCGCACAAAATGTAGGACCGCTCACGGCAAGAACTCAAACCAGACTCAATGCTCGAGTTGGCCAACAGCGTCGAAAAGCTAAAATTGCAAAAGGCAAAAGTCGGACGGCAGAAATAAAACAAAACTAAAAACAATATAATAAAAATAAAGAGCGGGCGTCTGTCTGTGTGAGCGATGCAAAAAGGCGCATAACGTTTAACCCCCTGCACTCGCAACGAAATCAAAAAAAACACCCTCTTCATCAGTCTTAAAAGAATTGTGTAAAATAAATTGTAAGAATATTTCATATACTCTAGCAATTTAAAGTTCAAATAGGCATTACTGCTGTATTAACAAACTGTGCAATTATTTTGATAAAGTCAAGAAGATCAGCTGAAAGTAAGGGGTTAAAATGCGTGGGCGATTGGGGAGTGTTAGATCAGTTCCGATCGTAAAATCGATAATGGACCCAAGGTGTTAAGAAATCACTTTCCCTCTTCAGTGGAAAATTACGGAGGAAATGCATTGAACCGATGCATTGCGATAAAAATATAAATAGTTACACCTTGTAATATATGTTATGTATAAATTGCAGGCAATCACTCATCGATAAAAGATAAGTTGTCGTCATGGCTCAATGGGTTATATAAATCTGCAGACTAAGGTAGAATTTTTAAAAAGGTAAACCACTTATGGAAAAATATTTCTGAAACAAGCTAAAGTTTATTGCACTTCAATAAATACAAAATTCCAGTTTCTATTCACATGTGGATTTTCAGATTAAGTCAAATTAAGAGAATAAACAAAACAAAATAAAGTGGACGAAACATGCAGGTAAATGATGCTAATTAATTGAATTAAGTATTGTTTCTAATTCATGCTAATCATTTTTATTAATTGCCGTACCAGGCAAAATGTTAAATCTATGGAATGGAATCACTAATTCAACGTTTTCATTACATAGGCATTTTAAATAAACGTGAGTTTGAGTTTTTATTGCCGATTTGTTTTATTCTCATTATATAATGTGTAACTCTTGTAGTTTCTCCATTAATTAAAATCGCTTAACTGATCTCTAAAAACGCACTCGTTCACCAGCTTGATTTTTGTTGTACTCCATAATAGTAACCAGAAAACATACTGCTCTAAATTGTTTATTTATTTATTGTTCGCTTGGGAACGTTACATGAAACGAGTTTACAGCTTGTGTAGAAATTAAATCCATATTGTTTCCAACACGTGATTGCAACGAAGTAATTAGTTGTAACTAAGTGCACTTAAACTAAAATAAATGAGCAACGTAGTTTAAGTACGAGCTTAAAAATGTTCAGTAGTTGTGTGTATGGCTGGCAATATTTTTTGTAAAACACAGCTATTTAAAATATATAAACTGCTACAGAAAACCCATCGTATTTCGTTTATATTCCTGCTCGTTTATGACGACGTACATTTGTGGGCAGTAAAAATGTTGTCATTCATCATTCAAAGTTAGTTAATTTATTTATTTGCTCGCTGTTCGCTATGCGACTGTATCTTAAGAGTAAAATGTTGGCATCGTAACGCTAACGTTGATTGCGTCACGACATTTGAGTACACTGATATAAATTTAAAATTCTTTTGTAGTGGTGTTTTTGTTCTCTTTTCCGGCCGGAAGTGGTTCGATCAGGTTCCAGGATCCGATCCGGCCGCATTCCGGATTACGGAATCCGGTTCTCGGTGCGGTTCTACACGGCACGTGTCCAGCGCATCGAATTCTTGGGCGTAGCATGAATATTTTACAGATAATCCATATAAGAACGTAGGGCGCACCGCATTCGTGATCGTTACACCTTTACCTTAACCCCCTGAAGCCCCACGGTACTTGCAATTGGAAGACGCACGGAAATTTACCGCCTTGATTGAAGAAGCGCCAGTTAAATGAATTGCACGGAATCAAAGTTCTCCGGTCGCTTGCTGCATCTCACTTCTTCCAATCTTCCAATCAACGAACCAGTCGATCGATCGATGTTGACGGAATCGGAATTCAGCAATTGGATTACATAAGGGGTACGAAAAACAAATGCATAACAAACAGCAGGGTCGCTTGAGGGGGTAAGATATTTTCTAGATCACAACGATCATAACGAAATCATACGACGTTAATAAACTTTAAGTATGATTCATTGCTTAGCAACCTTAATTACTTTTTTTTTCAATTATTTGGTTCCTGATGTTATTGTATTTTGCCCACTATTAGTATCTCTCTATTTTATGCTCATATGATCTTAACAATAAAGGTTTTTTTTGGTGCGCTCCTGGCTACCGCGATGCATATCCAACGACATTGCCTGCAGTTTGATTCATCGTTCGAGTTGAAGGTTCGAACGGTTTCGATTAGATTGATTTGGTTCGGATCGGATTAGATTAGTGTAATTCCCATACGGGGAGGTATATATATGATTCCCGGTATGGCTCTTAACCAGTTTGCTCCAGATGAAAACGAAAGTCCGCAGACGTATGAGATATCTATCAGAATGCAATCGATTCTTCAGAAACCGGGTCAATGTCAAAACTAATTTGGAGTATAATTGCGAATTTATTTTGGCTGCCAGCTTAATACAGTTTCAAGCAACCTGTTCCACGACTTTATTAGTATTCGGCTCATTTATTTTATTACTACTTTAATTTGCACGTTTTCTATGGCAATAAAAAGCTGCAAATGATTTGTGATTCAGTATATTAATTGTGACTTAGATGGAGTCAGTGAGAAGCGCAGAGAAGGGCGCTGTTAGCATGGTATTAAATATACCACGCATAATATACTGCACATTTTATTAATACTTTTATTCGCACGTTTTCTATGACAATAAAAAGCCACAAATGATTTCTGATTCAGTATATTAATTGTGACTTAGATGGAGTCAGTGAGAAGCGCAGAGAAGGGCGCTGTTATCATGGTATTAAATATACCGCGCATAATATACTACACATTTTATTACTACTTTTTTTCGCACGTTTTCTATGGCAATAAAAAGTATACTATTTGTTATTTATCTGGAGTCAGTGAGAAGCGCAGAGAAGGGCGCTGTTAGCATGGTATAAATATACCGCGCATTATATACTGCACATTCCTCTGGTATCGAAAATCCATTCCGATCCAAAAGCATTGTTAGTCTGCTCTTTTAAGTAGTCGAATCCCCAAAAACACATCTGTCAAGTTCTTGTCATGTTGCGATGACGTCAAAATGGACGTCACATTGTTTATTCTCACTTAATATCTATTAAAAAAACAATAAAATATAGTAGGTAAAATGCGCTGCACGCTTACTAAGACACAAAAGAAGGCACTTCCCTATATGTATATACATATATATTTATAAATGGGTTTTTTTGTTGTTGATGATAAATTCGCAAGCATTTATGGTTTTATGTAAGTAATTAAGGATTTATAATGTTTATAATTTATAATGTGACAATATTGCTAAAATTATGGTCGTTAAATGTTTGTCGTTAATTTTTCATTATCTTTAAAGCTTTAATTTATTGAGGTTTGGTATATCATTTCGTCTTAATAAATTCGTCTGCCTTTCCTGTATTGTTTGTGTAAGGCATCCTAACTGATTACTCATCTCAAAACTCGAAGATCGTTAATCATTGTGTTTCTCCTCAAATCGATTTTCTGGTGGTCATTAATATTCATCGTGTATTTCGCGCCGGAGTCCTGAGTTTGTTGTGCATATGATATTGTATGGTAATTTTGGCGTTTGTAGGAGTAGTCACTCTAAACTACATTTTTGTAACTACTAGGTTGATTTAATTGAGCCATTGCGTTTTATATTGCTTGATCACCTGGGAAGACTACAATGATGATAATTTCATGCATCCGTTCTTGAAAGACTTCTGCCATTGATGGGGATCTTTAGTTTTCGATGTTGTCTTCAATAGTTGGTTCATTCTCAGTGCACCTCCTCCTCCCCGAAGTGCTTGACAATTTGCTTGAGACTTTCGTAGGAGCCAGTGAAGAAGCCCAGTAAAGCCATCACCAGAATGACGAGGTTCTTCACGCAAATCCAGGTGCCCGGTCCTTTGTTCAGCTCACTCATTGAGATCAATTCGATGACTGGCGGAAACACCAGGGCCAAGGCCGTTGAGCATAGTGCTCCTATCAGCGAGATGAAAAGTCCCAGGGCCGGTACCATTTCCGCAATGGCAACTGCAGGAGAACCTTGTCAGATATCCTCTTTTCAAAGTGGTCCCTCATGCCGGATACTTACGAGTCACCAGGACCATAAAAGTGCGGAAGCCAAGCTCTCCAAACAGTGATCGTCCTTCGATGCCGCACATTTGCTTGGCACCTGGCCACATAATCTGGATGGCCACGAAGAATTGCAGAGGATAGCCGAGCAGAACTCCAGCGGACACCATCAGTTTGACCGCCTGGGCCAGTCTGTGGATGGTGAAGGGTCACATAGAATCGTGTGATATATGCAGGTGCCGCAGCCAAGACAGCCCCACTCACATGGTATCGCCCAGATTGAGGGTCAAACTTCCGCCGACCTGCTCGCCCCACTTCATGTAGCCCACGGATCCGGCGAACATGAACATGACGGAGACGAGGAACATGCCCACATTGAGCACACCCAAGGGTCGCTCGAACTGGTGTGGCTTTCGCATGGCGTTCTTCAGCGGCATCACCAGGGCAATGCCCTCGAAGGCAAAGATGGCGGTGCCGAAGAAGAGAGCCAGCTGGGAGCCATTCGTCCAGAGGGCGCGTTCCTCCACCTCCGGCAGTCCGTCCTTGAGGGCATAGTACAGTGTTATGGCCAGGCCCAGGATCATGCAAACATTGGCGAACATGGAGACGGGGGTCAGCCACTTGAGGTTCGTGATCAGCGAACTGAGGAGAACGGGTACGAAGGCCAGCAGCATCACCAGATGGACATTCATGTCGATATCGTAGGCTTGCAGTATCTTTGGAAAAGGCAATCCAAGACTATGTCATCAGTTTTGTCCAATCTCCTTCTACCGCAAACCAAACTCACCTGCTTCAGATTCGTGCTGATGAACACAAAGTATATGCAACAAAAGCCCAACTGGGTCACACATATGAATATGTCCACCAGTCGACCCATCGTTCGGGACCAGCCCCTCAGCTTTGGCGGCCCATTCTCGAAGCACTGCTCCACAGTCTGGGCATAGTCCGCACATACGGTCTCCCCCTTAAGGTCGCGCATCCTCTTGGAGCAGGTCACCAGGACATGTTGGCAGTGGATGGACACCACTGCTATGACCACAGTGAGGATGGGGGCCACCAGCAGACCTCCGTTCTTGAAGGCATCTCCCATGGCGAACAGACCCGGTCCAATGTTGCCCTTGAACAAGTGCACGATGGTCTCCAGATAGCTTGAATTACACGAACACAGATCATCTTGGGGCTTGGGGCTAACTTATGGAGGAGCTGAAGGTTAGGCGGTCCACTGATGGGTTGGTGTTATGACTCCGTTAGTCTTTGCACTTGGGAGGGCTTTAGTGGGGATCACGGTTAGTACAAAGCTGGGATTCAGGATCGTTTAGGTGGAATTGCAGATATATATGTTATGGGGTTACTGGATATCCTAAATGTTTCGGGTTTGGGGAAGTGGATTTTCGGGTTGCCAATGGTGGTTTACATTTTCTTATGGATGGTTGGTTACTGTTGGTTACTGTTGATCTTGCTTGAAGCTGGAATCATTGGGGCTTGCGATGATGGGTTTTATTGTAGGAACGTGAATAATTGCTTTTTGCTGGTAATTTAAAAGCTGTGAGTCAGGATCGATTGGAGCAGGGTAATTGTAGCAGGCAGGTTAGTTGGTTAGAGCAGGAGTTCTGGCTGGGAGTACTCAATTGGGAGCTGTGTAATATACTCTTAGATCTAAAGCTCCCTCAGAGGTTAGTAGGATTGACGCTTGAGTTAATTGTAATTGTAAATTTGCAGGTTGTCAGTGGGTGTGGGTGTTTTCAGATTGGTTACGGGAAGCAGGCAGTTGGATCGATGATTTGCCACAAGCAGTCATACCTTGTGGGCGGATGGTACTCCGCATCGTGGTCCTGTTCCTTGGGGACCTTGGCTGCTGCACCGCCACCCGCCGTTTCACCTGTGTTTCCTCCCTCCACAGTTTCCTGTCTCGGAACTGTTGCCGTCTGATTTTTGTCTAGTTGAGCTGGCGTCTTTCGGTTTTATAATGCATATTTCATTGATGCCAAGAAGCGAAAATATGAAACAAAAGCTTACATTTCAATTAAAAGCATACATCATATAAACGCCTATTTGCAGGAATGGTTGATGGGTTTTAATTGACCGATAAAAACGCAAACCTCTGGAGTGTTTCCGCCTGTCAATCTCCATGATCAAGTTCAAAGACGGAGATCTTATCCGGGGGAATCACAGATCAGCTCGTGGAAATACGAGTATATAGAATAGCACATGACTTCACAACTCAGTGCCCACTGCAATAAATTGAATGGGGGATTTCCATCCAGTGCGACAGATGGAAAAGTTCACCCCATCTGGGTGATAAGAATGCCAATGATTTGGCACTGGTTAGTCCAATGGCCATAAATATGGCCACAAACTAAATCAAAGCCAATTAAACGGATTCATAAAAGCCCAATACAAAGCAAAATAAATGCAATCTCTATCTTTATCTATATATAGTGTCGCCCAGATAAGTGGCCTTTGAATGAACCCGAACTACTGCCAAACAGACCAATAGACCCACCGATATCTCTATCTATATCTATACCTATATCACGTGTCTGCCTCGAGCAGAACCCATTGAGGTTGAATGGGTATTATTGAAATTAGTGGATAATCTCAAAAAGTAGTTAACATTGTTATAAAATACTTACTCCTGTTAAGGGGCCTTGTTGAACTTTGATAATACATTCTCATAATACATTGATATTATGTTTCAATAATCTACAAATTCGCCTTGCAATAGAAGCCCATCACGTTTTCTTGTTATTTATCAAAAAATCACCATAAACACGTACAGGAGAAACCCACGTTCATTCACAATATTTAAATTGCAGTCGATTAGTATGTTATCAACGAATTACGACTGCAATATTGAGCACATGATACATTGACTAAGATGGATGACTGCATGATTTATTGGCCACTTTGTCAGTTGGACACATGAAGTTGTCGAAAGTGTCAGAGTGTTTTTCAATACCTGTTGCCAGCTACCTAATAAATATAGTATACATTGTGTATATCTATGAAGGGGTCTAAGTGAGTATTAAGTGTCGTAAATACCGAGCTACTTATCGCCAAACTGATTTTGCTTTCGCTGCCATTCATTTGGGCCTCGTTAGATTATCGTCGTCTCACATGTGGTATACGCAATCTACTGGAGGACATGGCGCCCCTGACGTATACGTGATATTTAATAGGGTGCTTCGCGCAACTATATTGCTGGCATGACTTGTGTACATCCAGACGCTTAGTTCGTTGCTTATCGGCAGTTAGAGTAGTTAAAACGAAGTATAAATTGTAATTGTTATTATGGCGGCCTCGCTAGAAAGTAGTGTGCATAAAAAGGAAGAATATGCAGGCAAGACTCTGAAGATTCAGGATTTCAGCAGTGAGAAAGTTATTATTACTAGGGTATTTAAGGTTGCACGTGTAGGAACTATAGAGGTAGGCCATGGATATGGAGAGGCGTCGATACACTACCCTTGAACAGCGTCCACTTTAATCTAGACCAGACATTTACCGTGGAAAAGCAGACGTGGGCATGCCGGCAATTTAAGACAGATAAGACCAGATAGTCTCCCTGCAGTCTCGAGTGCGTGGAATGGCCCACCCGCGAAAACCCCCCGCTTAACCCATGACAGCCCCATTGGCAAACTGTCAACAGGGCCGCAGAGATATTATTTATGTGCGGTCCCATTTCCCTTATGTTTTTTTGCTCTTTTTCTTTCCTCATTTTTGTACGCTTTGCTTCTCGAATTGAGCAATGTCTGCGAGTGGAAAATTTTCCACATCTGATGGTGCGTGGGGTTCTGGTGGTCTGGTCGCTCTGTCGAGAGTTCACTGCACTTGGAGGCAACACAACAAACAAAATTGTTTAATTTCTCCTTTATTAATGTTGCCGGAACGGAAATCTGACGAGCTCAAAGGGAACCTTGATTGGCTTTTATTGGCAAAGCTTTTGTTCGCCATACAAATGCATTTGGAAAAAAAATTTCATTACATGTGAGATCTACTTTTAGGACAGCGAAATTTGTTACTTACAGATTGAGAGATATACATTTTTGTAAATGCTATCCAATCTTTAAAAGATAATCGTAATTTTCTTTCTAATATTTACAGTTTGTCTCAAAATCGCTCAAGGCTGTAATTTTATGCTTCATATTCTATAATTATTTTTAAGAATTTTCTTTTACTATTTCTTTATATTTCTAAATCCATTGAAGGCTGCGTATGGTTTTGCTGAGTGTATAGAAGTAAAATAGTGATTGGTGTCTCGTGCAGAACAAGTTCTGACCTTGATCAAGCATAAAAGTGTGTGATTTTACATTTTTCATCATTTGCATTTTCGAATTGCAAAAAAAGGCGAACACCTCAGGCGTAACTGGGCAAAAGTGCAGGGGGTTTGGCTGCCATAATTCATGGGCAATCTTTCATCGAAGATAAGTGCCAGCAAATCCATAAATCGAAGCCAACAGATAAGCAGGAACTTCGCACTAATCAATGAATTCGTTTAGCGGAAGTTGATGCCAATGGCCATAATATCTTAATTTATTAGATTCATTTAAGTTACTTACTGAATAAAATTGTGGAAAAACCTTTAATATTATGGATTACCATTATTTTACTTCCATTAATTATCTTTATTTTTAAGTTCGTCAGATTAAACAGTTGTAATCAGAATAATTAGTATTCCACCTCATTCAAATTGCACTGATGTTTATACAACTATTTGCATAGTTAATGAGTTTATTCTATGATTTTTATACCACGTTCCATTGGCTAATTGCTGTTATTAAGCTGGCCTATCTCAATTAACCAGCCCCTTCTGAAAAAACTCCGCCCGCCCCTGATTTTGCTTTTTTCTTTGTTTGACTTTGCACTTGAATTTCTTTGGTTTTGCCAAAAGAAGTTGTCTGGGCTTACTGAATTTTTTATTTTTTTGGTTTACGGTTTTTGCTTTGCATTTGAGTTTTTGTTGTTGTTTGACAACCGGCAAAATTAACTCGTTTTTTGTTGTGCGTCGTAATTATTTCTCTTAGGTTTCCCCTTTTTCGGCCCTTTTATTTTTCGGGGTTTCACTTTTTGCGTTTCGGGTTTTCTTTTTTTAGGCATGTGTCTTAAATTTAACCATTGCAATTTAATTACACACCTCTGTATCCATGTTGTTGTAGCTCTTGATGTTGTTCTTGTCCCAGAAGTCGGTCAAAAAATTAAGCAAAACAAACGAAGCAAAAAAAATCAACAAAAAAAAATAAATGAAGAAACACGCACGTAATTTGTCTGTTTTTGATCTTAATGATTTATTTTCGTAGCCTGCATTTGGTCACCGATCTAATTTTTGTCTTTGGTTTTCTGAGGATGCGGATGCGGTTAGATTTGTAGCCTTTGGTGATCTGTGTTCACTGTGTGTTAATCGCTCCACGAAAAATTCAAGACTGACGACCGGCAACAATCGTTTGGTTATTCGGACGGCCCGCGAGTGGGAGTGAGACAGATGGGAGTACACTCGCAGAAAAGTGCGCAATCAATAAAAGATCTAATGAAATATTAATGAAAAAACTAATTTATTCACTTGTCGGCTGGAGATAACCAAACCCTAAATGCCCTGTAATGTGTTAAAATTAAAAGAATATACATTTTCCAAAAAAGTTTTTTTTACTTAAAACATACATTAGTTTCTGCGTTGCATAATTGGATTAGTTTTATTCATTTATACATATTTACAACTGATTCGTAGGATCCAAAATAAAAAATTGTTCCAAGTGTAAGAGATGGAAGAGAGCATCTCCACCTCAATTCTCACACTCGCGCTCGTTCACTCCTTCACTGGCTCATTACGAAATAATGCGACACATGGGAGTGCAAAAGAGACAGTTGAACACCAACAGGTTGTCGATCAGCTGTTATAATTAAACTGCATAGTGCGCATAGCGCCCTATAGGTGGCGCTTCCACAAGTGAATGAAGTCAATTAATGAATGAAACAATCAAATAAAAAGATAACCAACTCGAAACTTTGCTAGTTAATCAAGATGTGGAGGCTAACAAGGAGGTAAAAGGGTGTTATTTTTACCAAGACTGTGTGTTTTTAAGCAACTAATGACGATACAACATTACTGTGCCACAAACTATGTTTATTATATTATAAGAAATACAAATGGTTCATTTATGCTGGTAATTAGTTAAAGTAATTTAGTCCAATCATCTTTGGGTTTTGGACCGTTTAATTTGTGCTTTATTATTATTAATTTGTATAAAAATAAATTAAAGCAAAAGGCGGTGGGAGAACAAAGAAACCCAGTAATAAATTTGCACAGCGAGAAAAACAATTTGGCTTGTTAAACACAAATTGTGCAGTACCATTACCATTACCATTCACCATTAGTTGATTATTAAAATATTATTTCTATTATTATTTTCCCATTTCCTGCAGTGTAGATTCCTCCCCATGGGTCTCTATCGCGGGACGCCAGGCAACTATTTGAGCAGATCGCTCAATTGGAGACGGGCGGCGACCTCAGAACACAAAGAAGCGCCAAACCGACCCTGAAACCCTGTCCCTGGCCTTGAAAATAGATGGGCAGCACACCGATGAGTCCATAATTCCATAGATACGAATTCTTATACACATGTGCCACCCCACAAGATCGAACAATGTCCTCCGATTTGGCATGATGCGCCTTTTCTTCGAATGATGCGTGGCTGGGTGTATGGCTGTATGGTTTGAATATAAAAAGAATCACATTTTGGGTCAGCCGACCCAATGACGAATACAATTTAGACAGAACATGTGCGGATCGCAGATATACATACGCACTAATGTTCGCAATACTCTGTCGAAAGATAAACACCTTTTCAATCTGGGTCTTAGGAACATATTCGTAAATTTTGAAAAGCATTGAATACAGTTTTAAAATGAAGTATTTTCTTTTGAAGTTGCATTAGTAATTAAGATATACTTCTTGGGCTACTTAGACATGTATACGTATAGGGTATTCAAAGTTCAGCTCGAAGGAATATTGAATGCTTTATAAATTCCTCAAAATAAAACGAAAATATATTAATACAAATGAATAAAACGTGTTAGCTATGAAAATACAAATGGATTGCTTTCCTTTGCATGTCGTCGAACTTCAGCAAAGCTATTTTAAGGAAAACCATGGCGGGAGATGGGGGACATCAAATCAAAGAAGGTATAAGAAAAGACACTAGAATAATAAGATGCGTAACGGCCATACATTGGTTTTGCACTATGCAGCCGCAATATTCAGTAATATTCTATGATGTAATTAAATAATTATCATATCAAGGCAATCCAAAACTCGAGTTCTTACTTTTTACCAACGAGTACTTGTACTTAGTGAGGACTGTAAGGCATGTCTTCTAATTTAGTCAAAAAATATTTCAAGAAATCTCTCTTACTGGTGTATGTATGTATGTATGTATGTATGTATGTATGTATGTATGTATGTATGTATGTATGTATGTATGTATGTATGTATGTATGTATGTATGTATGTATGTATGTATGTATGTATGTATGTATGTATGTATGTATGTATGTATGTATGTATGTATGTATGTATGTATGTATGTATGTATGTATGTATGTGTGTATGTATGTATGTATGTGTGTATGTATGTATGTATGTATGTATGTATGTATGTATGTATGTATGTATGTATGTATGTGTATGCATGTATGTATGTAGTGTATGTGTTACTTCCACCAAGTAGTAAGAATTGTCTTAATTAAAGCCTGAAGAATGTTTAACTTACTGTCGGAACACATAGTTATTGCCGCTTTTAATATTTGCTTGGGAAAAATATTTTCTTGTAGCCCTATAATTCCCAACTAGTTCTAGTGAGGACTGTAAGGCATGTCTTCAAATTTAGAGTCGCAAAATAGTTCAAGTAATCTCTCTTACCGGTCGAGCAGTGAGTGAAGTGCTACTTTTTTTGTCCTAATTTTGTCCCAATTATATTAGTGAGTGAAATAGTGAGGTCTTTAAGGTGAGTAGTAAAAATTGTCTTAAATAAAGCCTATAAAATGCCCGAAACGTATTTGAAGCGTATTTTGTCCTGTTTTTCATCCTTTTATTCTAGTGTCTTATTATTCTAGTGTCTTTGGTAGAAGGTAGCCCCTTTCTCATGCCAGGTGACTTTCGCTTTCAACCTCTTAACTCATCCAAAGCAAGTAGTTCTGCTTCTGCCTTATAGACGATATAATCGTACCCCTCTATATCTAGACATCGGTGTACATACTCGTACTTAAGGAGAACCTGACATGCTTGGCTTCCGTTTAGATCGCCGACTAAAACGAAAACTAGCAATTAAAAATGTTACTTTTTATTTGGCTGTCTCTTGCCCGGCGACGGCGGCTTTTGTTTATATTATTCAGTGCATTATTGTTATTAAAAGTCATGCGGACAGACGACCCCCTTTTATTCGCTTGAGGCGTTTTCAAAGCGTTTCGTCCATTCGAAACGTTAAACGTTTTTTAGTGACGCTCCAGTAAGTCCGTACTACCAGAGAATAATGTTGTCTTAGTGCTGGTAATTACCCAGTGACATATAGACATATCTGATTTGAGGGCGGGGCCACCGCCCCTCGGCGAAAGTCACCAGCAGCAACAAATTATGAAATATAAAAAAACAAAGTAAAACCAAAAAACCAACAAAAGCTGCGATTTAATTGCAGAATGCGTAGAAAGTGAAAGATACGAAGAGTAGTCTCCAGACTTAGACATGGTCGCCATATCCGAGACGGAATCTCGATCTCCGATCTCCTATCTCCTAACTCAAACTGCGCCTGTTCCAAGTCACTTCACGCCATTGTCACCGTATTCGAAAGCAAATCTCAGATTTGCAGCCCGGATAAGTGTAATGGCCAAATAAAGATTTATGAGCCACTTTTTTGGCTTAGGCACATACAAATACAAAATAACATTTAATAATTTGTATTTATTTATTTGAATTGTAATACATTATGTTTTCTCCCACATACTAATACGCGATTTCTTGTAATTTATTTTCTCCAGCACTTCCATTTTAGCCCGAAGGCAGTTGGCCGATTGGATGGGCAATCGAATTGAATTGTTGTCACTGCCAGCCATTTAATGTCGGCTTTTGGACCCCGGCCCCACCGCCTCCCCCACGAGCGCCCACCGCTGGACAAGTCCGACCTGTTGGCCCACCTCCGGCGCCCAATCCTCCAGATGGGCAAGAAGTGGGTCTCCAAGCACGACATTCTAGCCACTATATACCCCGCACTACATATAAAATGACATATGCAAATGACCTGGCCGAGATCGCCACCGCATGCTGGCTGATCCCATCTGCTGGGATGCGTGCCTCCATTAAGCCGCATCGCATGAGGGCCACTGAAGCTCACACTGAACAAAAATACTAGCTAATATCTGAGTTTTACCAAAAAAAAACTTGGCGTATAGACTTGTGCTTAATATAGCATTTATTTTCGATACGCTTAGGTGATACATTTCAGTGCAACATTATTAATGAGTACTATATAGAAAATCCAAGAATAAGACTTGCGTTATCTATTTATCTTCGCCGTACTGTCGATTCCATAATTTTTCCAGCACTTAACCCATGTGTGCCCCATTGGCGATTAGATCGGCAATTTGGCATGGCTCGATAACTGTCGCAAGGCCAGTTAAGAAGATAGTTGGCTGGCTGGTTGGTTGGCTGCTTGGGCTACCAGCTAACAGCTAACTGGCGGCCAGAACGTTCGACGGGCTGGGGTTACGGCTGGGGCTCCGAGCGCCAGAGAGGCAGAGGAGGAGTATGAGGAGGAGGAGAAGGAGGAGCGTTACGGGCCAAAAGCCAAGTGGCCGAAACAGGGGCCTGAAGACGGGGCTTTCTCCGACCGGCTGAGTTGGGCCCGCGACTTGGGGCTTGTTTCATTTGCCAACCAGCCGCGCAGCCAAACAGTCATAGTCATTTCGTGGTCGTGGATAACGTCAGATTGGCGAGCATTAGACATGGTAACTGGGTTGCCCGTTGTGCACTTGATCGTTGTCGTGGTTGTGTTTCTGGTTGTGGTCGTCGTCCATCCCGCGGGGGCCATCGACTTTGGCTATCATCCGAGTGCCGAAGAGTTCGACAGCCTGGTGCGCCAAGGGTGGGGTCGCGATCTCCTCCAGCGTCGCGCCCAAGATCGCCGTTTTGTGCCGCGCTACCAGCATCAGACCTCTATTCGATTCGAGCCGCCAGAGCTGGATTTCCAGCTGTTCGATGAGGATCAGCAGCAGGCGCCGTCCCAGCCATATGTCTTTGAGTCTGTGGAGGATAACCAATCGGGATCCACCATATCCGATCAGTTTCATGTGCAGAGCGAGCTGCTGGAGATCAAGGAGCCGAATCTTTCGCACAAGCCCCAAACGAAGCCGCAGTCAGCCGGCAATGGCACCACGTTTCCCATATACTTCACCCATCCAACCACCGGCATTGTCTACGCCATTAGCCAAGTGGGAGTGGGTCAGAGTCCCAGTCTGGTGCCCACCCAAAGTCGCAACGATAGCAATACCATTGCCATCTATGTGTCAAAGGCGCAGTACGATGCCGATATGGAGAGACTGCGGCGGCAATATGAACAGCAATGCCAGTCGATTCCGCCGGGTACGGTCATATCCACGCTGAATCCAGTGCATCATGGTGGCACCACCGCCAGGCCGCAGATCATTCGACTGAAGAAGCCCAAGAAACCAATGACCAGGCCCAGTAACAAGTTACCCAATCCAAATTATCGACCACCGCCTGTGATGGTGACCAGCGGACCCATCGACCATGTTTCCGATCAGCTGCTCAAGCTGCCCCACCGCACGGGCAGCACCACAAGCAGCACAACCACCAGCACCACCAGCACCACTTCAAGGCCAAACACGCGTAGAAAGAAGCGCAAGAAGAAACCAAAGAACAAGACTAAAGTGATCAAAAAGAGGCCGGGCTATGGGACAAATAATACTAGGAGGCCGCAGGGCTCCTTGCCCATCATCCTGGGCAAGAGACCTACCACCACCACCACCACCACCACCACTACGCGACCACCGCCGGCTTATACGCAACTGGAGAAACCACATATGCCCCATGCCACACTGGCCACTTCAAATGTCTTCAGCCAGAATCTGCTGAGAAGCGGCCCAGCGCCGCCGGAAGAAAGTGAAACCCTGGAAGAACAGGGACCGCTTCAAGTGGATGAGCCACTGAATCTCAGAACCCGCCGTTCGGTGGAAGACATGCCCGGGCCGGAAACCACTTCAGAACCACTTCAGCCAAAAAGGAATACCTCCTTAAAGGCACTGATAAAAAAGAGAGTTCTGAAAAGTGCTGTTAGGAGATTTAGGGTAAATAAGGAACAATTACTGCCAAAAGCAGGTACCTTGAAGAACCAGGACGAAATGGACGCTTCTGGAACACCACGCCTCAGAACTCGTCGCGCTTTGGGTAGCCTTAAAAATGGTGGAATAGGGAAATCTCAAGGACCGGAGGGAGCTGAAAAAGAGGTCACAGCTGAATCTACAAAAGGATCCCAGAAAGTCGTATCTAAGAAGTCCAAGACAATATTATCCAGAGGATCCCCGCATGGAGTAGCAGCTCGACGGGTGAGTACTCCCAAAAGACGCTCACCGAAGGGAAGTTCCAGAAGGCGGCAGACCAAGCAGCAGACACCACCATCCACGCAGAAGAAAGATGCGAGCTCGGGTGGCGTACTGCACATACCCAGCGCCGTGCATCTGCTCCACAGAAATCACAGTCGGGATGAAGCACCCAAAGCTCCAATGAAGGCCAATCAAAAACAGGAACAGAAAATTAAGGAACGCAAGCGCGGAAGACCCGAGCTGCCCAGTTTTGATATATTCGAGCTCATATCCGATGACGACTACGAGGATGAGGGGGAGGAGGAGGATGAAGACTACTATTTCGAGGACGAGCACAAGAATGAGCATAAAAGGAAGCCCGATGCAAGCAGCAGCACAGAAATAGCCCACAGTGATCTCAAAGAAGATAGCAGCTCCGCGGAGGAGGGCGCTGACTTTGGAGCTATGGTAGCGGAGGAAACCACGACCACAGCGACCATATCGAGCAGCGAGGAGGAGGATGCCATCTACAGCACCAAAAACTCCATGGTCAAAAAGCAGATTCGCATCAAGAGGCGACCAGTGGACTCCGATGAGGATTACGACGATGATGAGGACTCCGGAATTGGCGGCTTCTTTCGCATGATCTTTTACCCCGTCCAAGTGGCCATGTCGCGGCTCATGGATGGCTTCGGCAGTCCCGACGAGGAGGAGGACAAGGACCCAGTCAGTCCGCCCGTATCGAAGTACCCCAGCTACACCCTCTATCACAGCGCCCACAGCAATGAAGCCTATGCCGAGCCGGATGATGTGGATTCCGAGGATGAAGAAGACTCCTCCACGCTGGGCAGCTGGCTGGGCTCCTGGTTTGGTCTGCAGCGACGCACCAAGAAGATCGGCAGCACCACCACCACCATGCCAGTGCCATTGCCCACGCCCACCAAGGCGCCACCCAGTTGGCTGGAGTCCTGGTTCGGATTCGGCTCGACCACGGAGGCGGATGCGGAAGATGACTACGACAGTGAGTACCATAGCAAATGCTTAAACGCTAGGTAGGATTAAGCTGCACCCACGGTAGCAGTCATGCTACATAGAGCCACTGAAATCATCTTCATGGTTGATTTGTTATTTATTAGTTATTTTAGGGAATCATCGTTAGATTGGGCAATTCACTAATTTAGACATTTGGCTGTTTTAACATTGTTTTCAAACTAATTACCGTGCACTTAAAAGTGAGCCATGCTAGCTTCTGGTTATTCGAGTGGTTCATTTAATGGGGAGATTGGCTGAATGAGCAGGAAGATAAACGGGAAACCCCTGATCCCAATTGAATGGCTAACGGTGAGGGTCGCCCAAATGGGTTCTCGTTTTACTTCACGCTTTCTGCACCGCCAAGATGTATAAAAACCAAAGACAAACAGCCCAGGCACAATATATGACTTATTTTCTCCACGAACAGAATGGTTTTCCAGCTGGTTCGATTCGCGGCCAAAGCGAAAGGTTAGACGTCGTTCCACCACCTCCACGTCGACCACCTCGACGACGACAACGACGCACACACCATCGGCGGCGGCCCAAGTGCCCATCCTGACCATCGTGGACCCACTAAGGAATCCACAGAACTGGATTGGCATACTGGCCCACCACATTGTCAATTCCACAGGCAGCGCCATCTCCACGAGCACCAGTAATCCGCTCCTCCAGGCACTGGCCACTCGAATGACCACCAGGGGAACCACCAGCACCACAACCACTACTTCGCGGCCGGAGATCCCCAGGCGCATTAGCTATGACAAGTACCAGATCTGGCGTCTAAAGCCGCAGGATGAGGAGCAGGTTCGTGCGCTGGAGGAGTTCAAAAAGGGCGATGACGGCGTTAAGTTGCACTGGCTCAAGGGTCCCAGTCTCAGGTGAGCCAGACTTGAAGCTACAAACAAATCGCGTTGATAATCAGTTAAGAGATTAGTCCATTTACACCAAATCATTTCTACTGCTTTCATCACTTCAGAGGTCTTACGGATGTTCTGGTGCCACCCAAGATGCTCGTGGACTTTCAGGGCACTCTTAACTACGAGGGCATAGCGCACGAAGTGCTCATTTTCGATGTGGGCAAGGCCATCGCCTACGAACTGACCAAAGAGGATTACCTTCAAACCACTCGTCCCTCGAAGCCGCGACCGACGGTACCACCGCCCATGACATGGACTCGTTACCACAATCACGATGAGATTGTCAAGTATCTGGAGACGCTGCGCATGCGTCACCCGCAGCTCGTAGAGCTCATCCACATCGGTCGTTCCTTTGAGGGTCGACCCCTAATTGTGGTGAAGATCGAATCCAAGCAAGCGACGGCGGCGGCGTACCACGAGGGTATGCACACCACCAAGCGACCCAAGCGGAAGCGGAAGTCGGGCCAGGCTAATGCCGTGTTCGTCGAGGCTGGTGCTCAGGGATTGGCCTGGATTGGACCCGCGACGGCCACCTGGATGATTGCCGAATTGCTGCGACTAATGAAAACAAACAGTAAGTATTTCCAAACAAGTTCTTGGTAGCAGTCGGTATCAATTCCAAACAAAACATGGGAATAATTCAATGACTTTCATAATGGCGACCCAGATCATAAAGATCAATTGTATAGTTCTGCAAGGTCTGTTCTTTAAGTTTATTCAAATTGAAATTTGCTGCAAATTGTCGAATGGTTCGTGTTTCCAGGCAAAACGTAGGTGTTCTCGCCTGTCAGTCTCAAGTCAGTTTAATTGTTATTGGCGTCTAACGTGGGGCCGTGATCCTTGGCGGTTACTGCATCATGCGAGCCAGTGTGTCGCGCATCCAGAGCACAATGGTGGGCGGCTGCTTCATCTCAGTGGGAATAGCATACCGCCTGGAGCTCAGGAAAATTGCTCGTCCCTCGCAATCCGTGTACCGCGTCTTGCGGTGCGAGTGGAAGCCCAGGCTGGGTCCACAAGTAGCGGCCTTCTTAATCTTCGGCTTATGAGCACAGCTCTTGGTCTTGGAGGCACAGCTCTTGGGCTTGGTCTTGGACTTGCTGGATCTGTGGAAGAAGCCAATGCCACCACATTTGGTCCTGGAACGGGCTCGATCCCGTGAGTGACAGCAGGAACCACTGAGGTTGGTCACCTGCGAAATGGCAAAGGCGACAAGCAGCAGCCCGAACACAATGGCCACCGCCACCTGAACGTTGCGGTCGGCGTTCTTCAGGTCCATCAGCAATTGGACCACATGATAGCCCAGAGTAATCCAAAATGTAATCGTGCAGATGGCAAAGAAACTATTGAAAGATTTCGAAGCTTATCAAAGGGATAAATGAACAGACGAGTATACTCACACTAGCACACCGAGGACCTCCAGCAGGAAGGTAATGATGAAGTTCAGCTGCTCGCTTCCGAAATCAGTTCCAAAGGATCCTCGCTGGCCGGCGCCAACTGGCTTATAGCCTCCACCCTGAGCTCCGCGTAGGGTGCTTTGTGCAGCTGGTCCTCCTGAACCCGGTGCCAATATCAACGGACCATTGCCCATGGTTCCCGGAAGGAAAAAGCTGCCGGGATCAATGCCATGGGCCTCGCCGCATGCGGCATCACAGCCAGTTCCATAGCCACAGTCCTCATCGCACGCAATGCCCAGGCTGCATCGGTTATGGCCCAAAGTAGTGGTGCCCAGATTGATGGCAAATCCCAGGGTGTCCCTGCCGCGTGGTCCAGAGGTAGTTTGACGTTGCCGCTGCGTCCAGCCACGGCGACAGGCTCCCATACTCTGACTGCTCGGTCCCCGTGCGTCGTTACTGTCATCGCTGGATAGCGTGCTGTACCTGATCTCCTCGTAGTAGGAGTTCGGGGCGAAGTTTATATTGCCGGCCCCACTGTTATCCAGAGCAACGGGAGTGGAATCAAAGCGCAGATTGCCCCCCGCAGGCGCATTGGATGTGGAGGTTTGGAATACCTCTTCCACTTCCTCCGATATCCGCGGACTATCGGAGTTTCTGGCCGTGCCACTGAAGATTAAACTAGCGTGTGTTCCGTGCACCGCCGATCCCCGGGGACTGGCCGCCTCCGGAATGACCATAACTCCCGGATTTACATCTGACGAATCCGATGCACCGGATTCCCTTTGGGACACGAGTGGCGCCCCACCTTCACCTGGGTTTTCGGTAACTTGTAGGCTGTGCGGAGCTCTTGCGATGCGGGAAACGGTTTTGAGACGACCGCCCAGAAGGGATGTGATGGTGGGTGCTTTATTACCGTCTGGCTGAAGGGGAAGCGCTTTGGCGGTGGCTGGCGATGATGAGCCACTGCCCTCTGCTGCTCCTCCTCCCACAGAGGGATTCGATTTGGAGCGTACGTATTGGCGCGAGGACTTTCGGGGTCTTCGCCTCTCCATCCTGATCTTGTTCCAACTGGAGGCGAAGTGGCAAGCTGTTAACACTATCGATTTTTGGGCCTACAAATATACTAACGGACTGACAAAGGAATAACTAATGGGATTCGAGTTGAGGGACGGCGGCAACGTTGATCGGTTAAAAAAGTATTCTTTTTCTGATTTAACCAATTAATATGTATATTTACTTCCATTTAATATATTTACTTAAATTTAAACCTTAAAATGTATAAAAAACAGACCTGAAAACGTTTACCCAACAGAAAGCAACGTGGACGTGGAGTTCATCCGGAACACCACCTGGTACATAATGCCGGTCCTGAATCCGGACGGATATGCATACAGCCACGAGTACGATCGGTTCTGGAAGAAGTCGCGATCGCAGCACCAGGCGCCGCCTCCCAGTGGGCTTCTCGACTCGGCGATGACGTGGCTCCAGCAAAAACGGGGTCCGGATAAGGTTTGCTACGGCGTGGATCTGGACAGGAACTGGCTGTATCATTGGGGCAAAAGGGGCAGCTCCAAGGCGCCCTGCAACGAGTTCTACGCGGGCCCAGCGCCATTTTCCGAACCGGAAACCAAGGCAGTCTCTGAATTCCTCATGGATTATAGGACGCAGATAAAGGTGTGCTTAGAAAAATGTGTAATACATACATAAATTATATATTAATGTGATTTTTGCAGATGTACATTTCCCTACAGGCCTATGGGCAGGTCATATCCTATCCGGTCAAGGCCAATTCAACATTCAATTCAGAAAGATTGGACGATTTTCTGGACGTGGCGATGGTGGGCACCGATGGATTGCGCAAAAAGGGCAGTAAATCCCGATATAAGGTCGACGCATCCAACGATCTCATTGAACAGCGATCGGGTGCGTACTATGCCTATATTATCACTACATTATTTGTTAATGTGCTGCCATGCATTATAATATAATTGAGAATGACACTAGCTAATCCTTTGGTTTCCTCGACTTCTCCAGGCTGCGCGGACGCATTTGCTGCCTACGAGATCGGGATACCCTTCAGCTACACGATTCAGCTGGCGGACAACGGAGTGCACGGCTATCTGCTGCCCAGCAGCGCCATCGAGCCCACGGCTCGGGATGCCTTCGAGATCATAAGCGGTATGCTGGACTACATATGAGGCTGGCGATCGGGGATCGGATTCCAATCGAAATCGAGGGCAGCAGGGATTTGGGGTGGGGCTACATGTGAAAGAGTTTTAGTTCATTTTAAACGAGCTTTGGTGGCTTGCGTTCCGGAGATCACTTGCCACATTTCCGGAATACATTCTCCAATACTATTAACTGCATTTACGTTCCTTTTGCATTCGAAATACTTTTTTATTTTACACAAGCTCCCTTAAATTGAGACTTTCGTTTAGCTAATAAATATTGTGTTTATATGTATGTATATTATAATTAAATATCAGCAATTTTTTTTTTGGTAGTTTAAATCCCTTTTAGACTAAATAGTATACTATAATAAAGTCTTATATTTGATCGAGCATTCGATTTCTTGGCTTTCGTATAACATTTTGCATGGATGCCATGTAGGGGGATATTTTAAACGTACAGTATGTCTTAAATTCGTTTCGAAAAGTACGCACTGTCGTAGTATTATATTCTCATATAATATAGCGTGCATTACCTTTTAACAATTTACTTTCTTAAATATTCGACTGTTCTTTAGCCTATCAACACACTCCATGTGGGCATTTTTTTTTTGGGAAGGCAATATACATAGCTTTCAAGTCAATAAAATGGAAATACAAGTCCAATAACCGCTGGTTCTTATAGAGATAGCTCAAAATTCGTTCGAAATTGGAAAATTCTTTTCAGCTTTGAAAGTATTCGTCTAACCTGACGAATTCATGGATTTTAAGTAGCTCATTGACTGATTTGCAAGAGCATATGGTGCATAACTAAGATTATTATACTGTCAGCTAGGTTTGGACTCAGGAACTAGTTACCAAGATGTGGAGCTCTGTAAGGCACTGCAGTGGTTCCAAACTCCTGTCCTCCGTCTAGGCGAATCTCTGGGAGACCAAAATCTTGGCCGAGAGCTTGGCAAAGTTCGTGTGGCACTCGTTGCCGTGGAAATAGAGTCCAATGAGCAGCTTGAACTGGGCTGCTGACATTGGATACGGTTCCTGCGACATGACCACAATGGTGTCGATGCTTTTGCCCGCCTTCTGTTCCGCCAAGTTGGCCAGGATTTCGCGGTAATTTACAAAGGATGCGGAGCACTTGGCAATTTGTCGGACCATTTTGTCCGTGGAGCACTGCTGCATCACAGGACGCAGTAGTGCATCCAAGACTAGGGACTGCAGATCAAAGACTATCAAATCGGGACTGCGCAAGGAATCGGCGCTATCCTGCATTTCCAGCATGCGGAGCGGGGTGCTCTCCACGTCCACCAGTTGCAGAATGGTCAGGTATTTGCTGCATACATGGGCCTCCCATTGATAACGCTTCGCCATTCCCTGCTGGCGACTGGTGATCAGTAAAACGCGCTTTCCTTTGGTGGCAAAGCGTTCGCATAGCTAAAATAAATGCAATTTGATATTCAGAAAGCAGCCTAAATTGGAGTTTCTAACCCACCTTTGCCAAATTAAGGGCGTAATCCTCGCTGCCCGTCAGATATATATAGTTATTGTTGCAGTCGCTTAAACTCATTCCTTGAAAATGCATAAAAATTAAAGAATATATGTTAAAGAATTCTTAAATTCTTCAGCCGCTGTTATCGGTATCGGGATTTTCTTAAGTCGGCGTATCGATAATCGATACATCCGGTAGGAGTACTCTTGACCAGTGTGACCGTCCAGAAATGCTTATCCGATACTATCGAACTGAAGTGTTTATATCAAATGCCTGGAAAAATAATAATTTAAAAATAAAATATCGTTTCAATACCATACAATATGTAACATAAATACTATATACCAAAATAGGTATTGCGTAAATGTATATTTATATTTATTATTTCACATAAGCCGAATAAGAATAATAAACCGAGCCGAGCTGGCATCCCCGGTCGTAGAGTGACCATATTGCATTCCGTCCAACGCCTAGCGGTTGCAAACACTAAAAAATACCACAGAAATGCGGCGCCACCTAGAGTCCACCATATAAAGCAGCCAATTGGCACATGTAGCCGAGCTCTTCGAACGCACGCAACGCGTCCAGCGCGACAGAGATAGCCGCACACAGCGACCGATTGCTGTCAAACTCAACACAGCCGTGCCGACGAACAGACCGCACAAAGCGTAATGCAAAAGAATTGAAAAAAATCATCAAGTATAGAGGCCAAAAAGCGAACGCAGCAAGTCGGCGTAAAATTAGGCAATTGTCGTTCAATGCTGAGCAAATAAATGCGGCGATTACAGCGCAGCAAAGAAGGCGAGCGGCAAATTGCGAATTGCGGTAAGGTACGAAGAAAAAAAACCGAGTAAAGTTGAAAAGAAGTCAAACGAAATACGGATGAAGCGACACCACACACACACGGACGCATACGGACGCACGCACACACTCACACTCGCGCACGCAGAGGCGAATGCCGTGTGTGCTTTAAGTGAAGAATTAAAGGCGTTCCGAATGCTAATTGCATTAATGAGAGACGAAAAAGGAAGCTGTTTAAAGGATTGCCTTGAATGTTTGTACTTCTAGGAGGCAGCAAAATAAGCCGATAAAACGGCGACCGCAATTTAGGAACACACACTCACATATACGCCACACAACACCGAGTCAGGGGCCACACAGACAAACAGCACACACACACATGCCACTGAGAGCCTCCCATACAAGCAGACCACAACACACACACCCACACATACAAGCAAGCGTGCCTTGGCAGGTGAGAAGAAGAAGAGGAAGCGGCGGAGGCGGAAGGAGGAGCAAAAAGGAGGCGCCAAAGGCCCCAGAATATTGGATAAAATCGGAATAAGGCTGCATTATCTTCTCCACGAAAAGAGGAAGCAGCAGTAGCAGCAGCAGCACCAGCAGCTCTTCGACGAAGAAGAAGGGGAAGCAAACGCAGCAGAAGCGGAAGAAGAAGCAGGAAAAAGAGGGAAAACCAACAGAAGCAGCAGCAGCGTATTTGGCGAAAAACTTGCATTGATGGTAATGCATGCTAGAAAACCGCAGCGTATGAACGATGGGTAATATATCAAATATAATATGCAATCTACCGTAATATCGGCAATAACAGTGATTCCCAATGCTCTCACACACACACGCACACACACACACCCATAATTGTATATTTTTTTGTTTACGTTCTGCCTTACTGCCATCTCGCTCTAACTCGCAGTGCCCGCGTTTCCTTTTTTGCCTCCAATTTTCTCCGTTTACCCTAATTAAGTGATTTTCGTAAATATATTTGTTTTCCCTATGTTTATTCCTTTGATTTTCCATCTTTTCCATCGGCCTTCTCGCGATAACCGTGTTTTTCGTCTTTTCACCACACAATAGTTGCCTCTCGCTCGCACGCGCTCAGCTGGCAAAAGGCCACAAAAAAAAATATAGTTCTTGTAACATTTACAGTTGCTTATTGCACTGCAAAATAAGTTCATATCCATTGTTTATCAATCCGCGTTTCACTTAGTTTGTTTATTTACCAACGGATTTGGCCGGCTTTCGATTGTCCGTTGAACCCAGAGCAACTGAAATTAATACTGTCAACAAATCAATGCCGGCAATTGATAAGCGCTTCTATTGATAAAAGAAAGCTCAATAAGAATTGGGAAATCGATTTAGAATTGGCATTTTCCCTTTGAGCCCCGCTAATTGTGCGTTATTTGAAAATTTGACAAAATCGATTGGAATCAGTTTGAATATGTGTTGTAAATAATCTTCAATTAGCTGTCTAACTTGGAAAACCCATATAATAATCTACTCCTCCATGTCACATAAATGGTCGTGTTCCTTCAAATAGTGTTACAATATCATCACTTTAAGATCGTCTTTATATTCAGACAAAGGATGGCAGAACTAACCCAACCAAGTGTGCTTTAAAGTGTGTTTTATACACCCAACTTCTTTTCAAAGGAAACTAATGAGCTTTTCATGTATCCCCACCACTTTCTAGGTACTTTGAGAAGCATACCAGTCACACATCATACCAGGTAAGCAGACCGATCCGCAATTCCTTCACGAACTCCGCAATTAATCACATTCACATGCCAGCTTTTAGTGGACATTTTTAGTTTCGTAGTTTAGCTCATTTCGTAGTGCACCCAAAGCCACAAAAAGAATATAAAAGCCAATGTAAATCCCTTCTATCATTTGCTAATATTTTGGTAAAGAGAAAAATCGACAAAATTGCAAATTGTATAGCCTGGATTCTGGATTTATTTTTGGTTCATATTTCTCCTTATTTTTCAATCGCTGTCTCTGTTGTGCATCCCAGATCTTACTTTCCCGTAACCTCATCCATTTTTGAACTGACCGAATCGTGTTTCATTTTAACCCATTCAAAAACGCGGCATTGCAGCCTGAACTGATCTTAACTTGAGAAACGAATCTATACGCATCTATACGCTATTAAAACAGAAAACAAATCCAATACAAATTCGATTAATCAACAAAAAAATATCCTTTTTAGAATGAAATTATTCAATTACAATATCTAACCGAACAGCACAAAAACAAATGCTTTAAATCGAATGATATATGATTAAAAATATAAAAAAATATATTAAAAATATACAAATTTATCAAACTATTTTAAATAGAAATCGAATTCATAACCAATTTCTAAACTCTGCCCTAGAAATAAAAACGTAATCAAAGTAAAATAGCCTTAAAAACGACGTAGTAAACAATTATACACCAATATTAAAAATAACATGAATGTGCAGCTAAAGAACAAACCAATTTTCAAATTATTTAACAAAATCGATTTATCAACGACAACAACAACAAAAACACAAATGTGCCTCATACATAAAGCAACAACAATCAATTAAGACAACAACAAATAACTAATGCAAAACAAATAATAAAAAGAAACCAAAGCCAAAAAAAGTTGTGCCCTCGAAAAGAAACGACCAATTGGACTTTTAATTCAAATCCAAACCCAATACGCATAAATTATTTATCTATGAGGAGCAACAGACACTCCTCCGGCAGCAGCAACAACAACAGCAACAACATGGCTGTTGATCTCTCCCTTTCGACAACAACAATTGCCAATTGCAACAGCAACATTAGCAACCACAATAACAACAATAATAACAATAACAATATCGCGAGCAGCAAAAGCAGCGCAGCAGCAGCGACGCTGGCAGCGAATTCAACGCCTTCAGCAGTGGGTCTCTGTCGCCTAGAAGTAAGTAATCCAAGATCCCAGAAAATAATGGTTAAAAACTAATGGTAAAAAATGACAAAGCAAAAAAAATGTGATCAAAATCCATTAAAGTGCCACGAAAATCGTACTGAACGAGAGGAAACCAATCCTGAGAAGCAATAAATAAACATTGAAATAAAGGAACAAATAATACTACTCATCCATTATCGAGTAATACATTTAAAAGAAGGCAACAGAACATGAAACATGCAGCAGCAAAATCCATTCAAAATCGTATATTTTAAACAAAAGTGTGACTAAAACGACACGCACAAATCGCCGATTTAAAAACATTATAAACAAATTATGATTTACATACCAAACACCTGATTCTGAAAAGGAAATATTATTTTTACATCGCAAACAATGAAGCACCACTCAATTTTAAAGTATTAGTTTTTATACAATTTACGATTATAACACAATCAAGGACTGGAATATTATTTATGTACTCAAATGTAATTATTTGATTTTCAACAAACGCTGGACCATAAACAAGGATTATAATTTTGTTTTATATATTTAAATAGACAATTATGGATTTTCAGTTTGGATAACCTGAAGACAACGACCAATATGAACTAAAAACGAAAATATTCATTACAAAACCTATTACTTTCAATTATGATATCATTATTTACTCAGAAGACCACAAATCAAACCAAACACACGACACATTTCAAAATTCTTCTCGATTACACATTTGATTTGTCAAACGATCGGAGTTTCATTTCACCTAACTTTCCTTTTGTATCCTTTCGTTTCCATTGGGTATAATCACAAGCGAGAACATTGGCAAAAGTAGCTGGCATTATGCATTTATTATGATTTTCCTATTGAGTAGATTTAGTTCAACTAACCAACCACCCTGCTCCCCAAAAATTAAATAACTTCAAAAGTTAAACTAAACCGAGACTTAAATCAACCGCTATTAATAATGCAACACTGAATATACCAGTGGTTTGGTACTTTTCAAGAGATTCAGTAAGGCTTTCCGATATTAGATACAATAGATAATTCCCAAATTGTTTTGCTTACAATCATTATTGACTTTTTACACGATGTATTGCATATATCGACCATATCTTTAATCCTTACTGCGATTTCTTGGAGCGTACCCGACAAACATTGTATTTTGTAGCACTGTGCAAATAATTTTGGGAATGTAAATCGACTAAAAACTGTGTGCGCTTCTATTTACCCGTGCAGAGCTCAAAGTACAGCAGTTCAAAGCGCGACTACGAACGCGATCGTTCCTCCAATTATCGCGATCGTGACCTGTCGCCAGGCGCTGGCGGTGGAGGAGGCGGCGGATCCGCTGGAGGAGGTGGCGGCGGCGGCAGCGGCAATGGCGGCGGACCATTGAACAATGGCAACAGCTACCGCTCCCAGTCGCCGGACATTGATTCGCCATCGTCCCGTTCGCATGATCTGCGCGATCGCAGCGATCATCGGGGCGGAGGTGGGGGCAATGGGCGTGGCGGCAGCGGCGAGCGGTACAGCTTTATGCAGAAGATGCGGGATCGAGATCGGGATGTCTACAAGAAGGATAAATATTCAGGTGAGTGGTTGGCACAGCTGCGAATTAAAATTGCACACCTCAACATATACATTATTCTTTACTCCATAGATAAACGTGATCGGCGTGGCAACGATCGCGACTCGGAGTCGTCGTATCGCACCAACCATGATAGGGATCGTCGTGGCGGAGGAAGCGGCGGAGGCGGCAACGCCAGCGGCAAGCTCTGCTCCTCGCGGGAGAACGACAAACGATCCGGGTCCGACGATCGCGATCGGGAGCGGGATCGAGATCTGCGTGACTTGCGCGACAAGCGGGATCGCGGTTCCGATCGCGACAGGGACATGTACAAGAAGGACAAGTACGCAGGTGAGTCCAGGCATCCATTTACTCTACATTTCTCACGTTTACTAAACATATTTTGTGGCTTTTTTTTGTTGTTTGTTAGACAAACGAGAGCGCAACGATCGCGGCGAGCGGACGGCGCGTTATGGCGACTGGAGCGAGCATGTCAGCTCATCAGGTGAGTCCATCTATGGCAGGTTATTCTTCCCCAGGCTGTAAACTAAAATGTTGCTTTGCTTTTAGGCAAAATGTATTACTACAACTGCAAGACGGAAATATCTCAATGGGAGAAACCAAAGGAATGGGTGGACAGAGAAAGGTAAACGCAATGGCAAATTAAAATATGACCGGCAAAGATTTTCGGGAAAATCTGTAATAAGTCTTCATTCGTCCTTAACATTGTCATTAATGTGTTATATGGTTCCAGAAATTTGCCGCGCGATCAGCATCGTGAGAAGGATTACCGCGACAAGGATCGCGATCGCGACCGCGATGATCGTTTCTCCAGATCAAGTGAGTTAAAAACCTGCTTTAGAGATTTCAAATATAATATTCAAAATTTGCGTTCTTCATTGCAGCATACAAACATTCCAATTCTTCGCGCGGCAATTCACGACTGAGATGGAATTACGACAACGATGGCGGTCCGCCCAGTCATCGAAGGCGTTTGGATGGTGAGCATAACGCAGTTTGCAGCCATTCCCATAACATCCGATTAACCGATTTAAAAATCCTACCGACAGGTCGACACAACGACAATGCTGACATGGACATAAGCGGCGATTCTACGCCTACCTCGGAGGCCAGTTACTCGCTTAGCGGCACGCCCACTACACACGGCGGCGGTCCGGGCGGAGGCGGTCCCGGAGGCGCCGGCAGCAACAGCGACCAGCCAATGGGCAATGCCCTGCCACGTTTGGCCTCCCACCCGACTGCCAATTCCTCCGCATCCGTGGCGACGGGCACAGGTGCGGCGGGGGGACTGCACTACGGCAGCGGAGCGGGCGGTGGCCCAGTGACGGGCGCCACAATGCTGCCCACAATGTCGGGAATGCTGAACAGCAATAGCAGCAACAGTGCCGGCGGCAGCAGCAGCAATGCCAGCAGCAGCAGCCTAAGGAACTCCGTTGGACACATTGGCTCCACCTCTGGCGTAAGTTTGGCTTTATGGTAGTAGTTATGGTAGTGGTTGTAACCTTATGTACACATATGCATTGCAGACAACTGTGCCCACATTGGGGAGTCAGGATCCGCACCAGCACCATCTGAACTCGAATGCTCCACTGCCACCGGGTGCCAAGGGCAAGGATCAGGCGCTGCTGATGCGCCAGAAGATGCACCTGGGCCTGGGCGTCCTCGATGTACAATCACATCACGGCGTTAACTCGGTTGGTTCGGCGGCAGATGGGTCCAATCACGCCTACAATTCGGTCAATAACTCGGTCTCCGGCAGCTTACGGTAAGCGAATAAAGGCTTATTGTAAGACCATGATCTTAAGTTCATTATTTTCAACATTGCAGGGACAACAGTGTCAACTCGCCGCTGTATATGCACCACAGCATGTCACCCTCGTTGAGCTTTACCAAGAGTCCCATACCGACGATTGTGGGCCACACGAACAACGTGAGCATCGCCTACACCTGCAATCCACCCTTTGGCCTCAAGACGACCCTCGATGGCGGAGTGATGGTGGCGAACGCCTCACCGGCCACGCCCGGCGGCAACGCCTCCTCCGGCTCCAGTGGAGCGAATAGCAGCCAAAGCATCGTGCCCGGCATGGGCGCCGTCAGCGGAATCAGTGTGATCACCTCGATGGGCAGCAACAGCGGCGCGGTGGGCGAAGGACCGCCTACGCCCACCCAGGAGCTGGACTTGAGTGGCTCGGCGTTGGAGCAGCAACAGTTGGCCGCCGCAGCGGCAGCCGCGACAGCAGCCAGCCTCCAGCTACAGGCGGCGCAGCAGGCCCAGCAGCAGCGGAAGTGTACGTATTCTAATGCTGAGGTGTTCTGAGTTTGTGATATTAAACAGTGCTTGATTACTATTATTTCAGTGGATGGCACTTCGTCGGCCACGCTAAGCTCGCTGCAGAGTTGCGTGAGTTCCTCGGGACAGGCGGCAAACATGCGCGGTCCCGAGATTTCACCCAAACTGGCCAAATACTTCCGCGCCGATCTGATCGCGCATGTGACCAATTGGCAGGCGGAGGTGCTGGAGCGTCAGGTAAGCTGTGAGGTAGGATTTGCCTGCGCATAAAGCACTAACTCGACCTCTAAACATACGAACACATAAGTCCATGGACTGGAACTGATTGTAAATGTTTTCCATTGTTTCTCGAAGGCGCAGAAGTGCTGTGAGGATACGCACCTGTTCGGCGACATCACCTGCACGAGGATATGCGCAGAGCTGAAGTGCGCCCGCAGCCTGGTGCGAAGCACCGAAATCAATGCCACCCTGCAGGAACAAAAGTGAGTGAACCAATGCCACTTAAATGATAGTTGTCCTAACCAATACATTTTATCTATCTCCTTTCGCAGAATTATGTATCTACGCCACCAGATCCGCCGTATTGAGGAGTCGAAGACTCAGAACGCGTTCATGTCAGACGATACTTAGGATCAGGAGCAGGTTAGGCTGCGCGTACATCGCAAGCTGTCTGTTAGGCTCAAAAAGAGCTTCTTCTGGCGCAGCTGATGATGATTGCGATGATGATTGGTCCATTGGGGCCGCCGTCAGCAGCTAGCCTTTGTCCTCGTTTCGCAGTCCCGGATTCACCCCTATTTATTGAGGGCATCTGGAAATTGATTAGATGATGACGACGTCTGGCGGGGGCCCACGACAATGACTGAGAAACCGCGTGCATCCTGCTCCATCCTCCTACTTCTCTCCTCTGGGCGACGCATCTCTCCCCACCACCACAACCAGCCCGCGATTCACTTGTGTTCGGATCAAGTTCCAGTCCGCAACCGACTATATAGTGGCAGTATGTAACTGGCTGAGCGGACTGCATGGACTTGGCACAGGACAAATCAGGATAAAACAACAAACAGCTGCAACAAGAACTTTAACAAGAAACACAAAAAACTAAAACATAATTTATAATTAGCAAAGCGTAAATTAAAAACAAAAGTAAACTTAACAAAAGTAAGCATAAAGCAAGGCGGATGAATAGCCAGAGAAATAGCCACAAACAAAACACACCACTCCAGGTAACTACAAAATAAGAATACAGCCGACAAGAACCGACCTATCAAGATCAAGAAGCAATATGGATAAAGCCTCGTGTCGAATCGAATCGAAAGAAACAAAACAAAAGATAAACAAACGAAATAGGATCAACAACACCAGTAAAGCAACAACACCAACAAAAAACAAGTCAACATAGTATACTCAACTGCAATAAAAAGCTAATAAAACTATATACAAATTATATATAAATAAATATATATAAATAGAGTATATGAAAGATTGTATATTTACAACCACTCAACATAAAAACGGAGGAGAAATCATGATGATAAAATGATAACGATGACAACCAAAATGCGAGTCAAGTCGAGCACGAATGCACGCTTCTCGAGACGAGGAAATCGACAATTTTATATATATATTTATTTGTATATATATATATACACGTTGGCAACCCGACGACCCACACGCCGATCTTATTTTATATTTTCACTGTGCGATCGAAATGTTTGTTTAATCTGCTGATCATCGGCGTGATATCCTGCTGATTGGTGCAATTTTAATATCTTGTTTTGTAGTTATTTACCGATAAAATCCATCGCCCGGCCACACCTAAAAATACAATAAATTTTTTTAATTTTTAAACTATAGGCATATAAATTTATATTTACAATACACCATATTCTTAAACCTCCGATTCAAATTGCAAATAGATTTGTTTTAGTTTAGTTTTTTTTGTATGCCCTACATTAATGTCTACGTTATATGATCATATATATATTTTTTATTATATATGCATATATAATTTATTTGGAAAAAGCGACAATTTTTTTGTTATTTAAGCGTAGCGAAGCGACAGCAGTCACGAGAGAGAAGGGCGGGGAAAGAAGAACTAACAACACGTATATAAGTGTAATTTTGAGTTTTTTTTTTAATTATTAACTTGACAAACCAACAAACAAAAGAAATGGGTCTGCAAATTGAGCAGACTCGAAACAAAAAGAAAGCAAACAACAGTTTAATAATGATAATGCTAATAACTATTGTAGATATACATATAAATAATATATAAAAAATATATTAGCTAAGCGTCGAAAACAAAACAACAAAAAAACAACCGAAAAATAGAAACTTTTATTATGAATTAATTAAAAAATACAACAACAACAAAATAATGTTTATTCATGGCTATTTCAATGGGAAGTTTTTTCTACGCAGGCGGCGTTTCCTTTTCTGATTCGTACGTCACACGCTTTGCCATACGAAAACTTCAGTTCTATCCGTGCTCTCGTGAACTAAAGTCGTACGAACAAATTATTTAAAAAAAAAGTTCCTTTTTTTGCCTTAACAATGTATAAATACGTGGAATACTCGCGGAGTCGCCGATCTTGTCGCCATTGCTCCTGCTCGTCCTCAGTGAGTCGAAAGGATTACGTTCTCGTTACTGGCTTCCAATTAACCAATAATCCAATTATAATGTGCAGGCCACTGAGTTATCGCCGCGTACCGACACCTTAAGCTCCTCTAGGCGTACTACTGGCTCTAATCAGAAAGGCCAGGACTATAGATATGCGGGTTATGCAGATGACGAGTGCTGCTGCTTGGATCCTAGATGTCCGTTAAGCACTAGGAGTGGACAGGAGTCTCCTTCCTTTTACTCGGAGCGCACTTCTCGAAAGTCACAACAAAATCGGGTAACTATTGCAAAATAATATGATATGATATAGTGCTAGATCTGCGGTTCGTTAGTACTTTGCCAATAACAAAAAGTATTCATCTGTTTTAATCCAAATGCCGCGAAGTCTTCAGTAATCGGTTTCATTAAAAATGAAATATGACATCAGTGATTTATTTTAATTGTAATTACGCCCTTAGAGTTCTTCCAAGCATTCCAATCCTTCGAAAATCCGAAGCAGATCCATAAGATACATGATTCCGAAGCTCCCAAGCATGGGTTCTGATGAAGATGCAAATCCTGAAGACCACGTCCAATGTGAAACCAACCAGAGCGAGTCCAGTATGTCATCCGGGCTGCAGAGTAAGTCAACTGCCACACTAGATAGCCGCTATAGGGAGGATGGCCCAGAGTTCTCCGCCGGCGTTAAGTCTACCGGGAAGTGCAGCTGCGCGTGCTTCAAACCAGAACACCGCCCAAGATCTAATGTTCTAATGAGCGCCGAAGAAATCAGAAATACGGTTCGGTCGCAGATTGCAGCGCTCGAGAAAAGCGAGGCAATTAGATGTGATTGTGATACCTGTAAGTCACCGAGTGGTAAATCCTCATCTAGTGAAAGAGCCATGAATGTATCTCGTGGCCACGAACTCGCAGCGGTCTCCTCGGAGTCAGAGAAGTTGGAACCTGACACAATTGATTGTCACGTCAGTGCCAATGATTTGGTTCGAACCGAGATAATTGATCCGTTGATAAGGCGCTTACAGCGCGTGTATCTGAACAACAAGATACACGAACTGGGCATACTGGATAGTCTGCACGATGTGAAGGCACAAATCAAAGAAATTTATAGGAAGCGAGAGAAGTGATGGGAGTCCTTTTTACGCATACACTCGATTGTTTATTTGTATATTTTCTATAATTAAAATGGGGTAACAGGGGAAACATATGCGACTTGACTTGTTTCTTGATATTGCTTAGAAACCAATTTGGATTTGGAGCGTTAATATACATATATTAGAGGCTGAAGCACCGCGAATTCTTCAGCAATTTTATTTGGCAGAAATTCATTTAAATCGTAGGCCCATAAATGTCAAATTTGGCGCCAAAAGCGACGCAAAGCTCTCTCCGTCAGGCGCTCTCATTTTGAACCGCTCTTGCCGGCTTTTCCTTTGCAGCCGGAAAAGCCACTGGAAAAGCTCAAAGCTTGCGAATACCCAATAGACGAATGTGCAGCGCAGCGAATTCGCTAAAGTCAATCGGAAAACGAACTTTCTGCGGGGAATGGCGGCTGCGGAGGAAAAGTGTTCGCGCCTGTGTGCGTGCGTATCTGTGTTGTTTTCCTTTTTTACTTTTGCCTTTTTTTTTTTTGCAGTGCCCTAGCATCTCCGCTTCGTTTTCGGAGGACGACGAAACGCCAACAAGTAGCAGTTCAGCATTCGACGCGTTCGCTTGCCAGCGGACACAGGCCAAAATAAACGGGTCAACTTTAAGCGAAACGGTTGGGTTTCGAAAACGCCGAGTAACGGTTATCGGTTCGGGAAATTTCAAATTGCTCAAATTTGTTATTTTTGTTTGAGAGTGTTTCGCATGTGTAAAGATAGCATAAGCGCCGTAGAATTAAATTGATAAAATAAACTTGCACATTAAATTTGTTGTGAAAGTTCACTAACCAAAAGCTGCCAAGGGTGAGCAAGAAAAATTCAAAATAAGTGTGGTAGAATTTACAAATATACAAATAACAGCTGTGACACATTCTTGTAATAATGTTTAATACTCGATTAAGTGTAATACGGATAATGCCATACAACTGTGAACTTTTTATTAAGCGAGCTATTTAATTTTGCTATAAAGAATTTAAAATTATAAAAAATTGCTTATGATGCCTTTCCAAATGAAACTTAAGGTTTTCTTTAGTAAATTGAATTTTAGGCTACGAATGTTGTGCTTTTGACCAATAAATCCAAAATAAGTAATTATTGCTAGCTTTGGTTTTATCTTTGCTTATCATTAATGTTAAGAAACCACAATTTTCTCAACGGCACATGCCGCACTTTGTTCTATAGTTTTTTGGACTGGCTTTCATGCCCTCTATGATTTGCAATTTGCAAATAGTCAAACTCGGCTAAAAAAGAGTGAAAACCAGTTGGAAACAGGCAGCAAAAAAAGTACAAAAAAGTAAAAAAAATGGCAGCGTGCATACTTTATTTTGAGTGCACTTGGATGCTGTCACATAAACCGAACAAACTGGGGAATATACAAATACATATTTGTGGGTGGGGGCTGGAATTGCTGCCCTCGTAACCCTTGTAATGCACTCGAACAAAATGTGGGTGCAATTTGGAAACAATTTGTTTTTAGTTCGATTACATTTAGCTATGAACTGAAAGTGTGCAATATGCATATGTTGTGTGCAGCTTATTTATGTGTTTTTAGGGTGCCTGGTTTTTTTCAGTGTGCCACCCTTGACTGGTTGTCGCGACCACCCATTATCTGTCATTGATTTGTTTTCCGTTCCATTTGCACCCCTCCCCCCGCGACTTCTTGGGACCCCCTCTCGTAAACTAATTAGGGAAGGGTCCAAGGATACTGGCATGTCCTTCAAAATGATTTGCGGCACTTCCGCTTATTGTGTTTGATTTCATGCACTTCTTCTGGCTGGCTTCGAAATTTGTACGCTTGCCCGCCAAAAATTGCGAAACGCTCTTAAAGCGGAAAAGTGTGGGGGGGGGGGGGGGGGGGGGGTGTTGGGCGGAAGGACCTTATTGACAATGGAGCATTCTGCATTCTGCATTCTGCGCGCACTGGAATGCCAAGAGTCGCGAGTCAACAGCCATAAATTTGACGCCGCCAAGTCCTTTTGGCATCCGCAGCAAACAAAATGCGTTGAGGGGCGTGGCTGGGAAAATCATAAAGGAAAATTGCAGGGGCGAGTGTGCCGGGCTGATGCGGTCATTTGAGTGCCAGCAAGAGCAATGTGCAGCAAACAAAAATAATAGTATTATTTTCATTATTAATCTACAGCTATTACTTGTCTCCCCATTTTCGCCACAGGGTCTTCAATGATTTTTCCAAAGTTTTCCACGAGAATATTTAAGTTTTATTCTTGGCACTGCAATTTTATGAAGCGACAATCCGAATTTTCATAAAGCTTTGTATTTTCTTTGTTCTACTCGCTATATTTTTATTAAATAAAAGGAAAAGGCACATTTAATCAAATTAGACTAATGAATCTTTTAAATTTATATCCTTGCTCGTGGTTTCCTCCACGAATTTATTTAGTTGATTAAGCCCCCAATCAATGGAATTCCCAAGCCCAAAAAACCAAAAAAACCACAACCTCAGACGACCGCAGTTTCTTAATTGGTTAAACCAAATTTCCTTTGACCTTCGCCGAGAATCGAAAATTCTGGGGGAAACGAGGGTTCTATTCAAATTGTGTGCATGTATTTCACTTTCGTTTTCATTTGCGACTTTTCTGTCGTTTGTTTTCTTGATTTAGATTCCTGTTTCAGCCGGATTTCTCTTTATGGCCAAAAAACATTTGCCACCATTGCGGTCGAAATGTTCGATGTTGATGTGACTGTTGTTTCGTGCTGGACAAACATTTTCATTTTCGGCGGCGATTGCTTATTGCTCTTGTTTAGGCAACTGCACTCAATTTTATAGCCTCTTCGCATTTTATTTAGTTGGCCTTTTGGTGCTTTTTTTGTTGGCCTTCTGGAGGGTTCCATTCCATTCAGCGCCCTCAAAGGAAGCAGAACGGAAACAGCTCCCTGTTATAATTTCATTTTCTGGCCCATATACATTTACATTTTAATTTCCTTCCGGACGCCTACGATACAAAAAATTGTTTTCACCATGTTTTATGGCTTGTGGCCTAATGTTTTGGTCTGATTTAAATGAGGAAATAGAAGTGGCCCAAAGTCGAGGGCACCGTTTCTCGATCCCCAGCGAACTGCGTGACACTTATACAAATTGCATTTATCATCCGGAGTTTTCCTCGACCATTTTTGACTCACAAACTTTCTCAACTCCGAAAGAAAATCTGCCAGCAAAGTGAAACGCAGTAAACACATTGTCAGCAAACTAAAACGGAGAGCAGCCTTGCCCACACTTCCTTTTTTCCGTGTGTTTTATGAGGGTTTATCCAGACTTTTCTCTGCACCTTAAAGGGAAAAAATCAACTACTTTGCATACAGCTGTGCGTAAGTGAATAGCAATTTTAAGCAAGCTAGCTAATAATATTTCGCAATTTTATAACTGTTGCACATTAAATTTTGTTAATAACTGGTTATTTTCAAATTGATACTTTTATTTGTTGAATAACGCCTAAAAAGTTTACAAAATCATTCCTATTGCTCCATAAGAATAATAACCACTTTGTATTCCAACATATGGTCACGTAACTATAATCTCAAACATAGTTGTATCGGTTGCTCGAAATCGAGATACATGGCCATGAAATCGTAAACATCTAGCTCTGATTTCCCACTTTTTGGGCCTCCATTTTTATGGGAGACTTTTCTTTATAGCCGGGTGCTACAGATGTTGCTTTGGGGCCGGAATAATATATATATAGCGTTTGGGATAGTCCAAATCAAGTGTGGGATATGTGGGAATGTACTGTTTACGATGCTGTGGGGCGGCGATTCTAAAAGAATATGTTTTCGGTTTCGCACTGGCCTAAGAAAGCAGTAAGCCAAATACGTTTTCATTTAATGGAAATTATACAAACGATATTATGGGATTATTATGCTGTCATCTGTGGGCCATGGAATATGAGTCACAGATTATTAAATTTAAGTGTTGCGCCTATTTATGTATGGGGTTCAGATTTTATCGGTGAGTTGGCAGATTGGCGGATCGTACAGGTATCGAAATAATTCTTTCAATATTCCTTATCCGTGTCCCATATCGATTTCTAATCCTTCAATAATGGCTTTTCCTCTGGAAGCAGGTCGGTTTGCCAGCATTTTCCTTATCTAAGATTGCTAAATTGTTTTTTTCTGCTGATTATATCTGATTGTTGTTGTTCTGTTGCTTCTTCACATTTTCCCCAGCCGCCAACGTCGTGGAAAAGGGGGCGTGGCAGGGAAGCGTGGGCTGCTGGCTGCTGATGTTTCGCATGTCATTGTCGTAAGTTGGCATATGTCACCAAGGTGTTATGCGCACATACATATATACATATACTCGCATTTGGTTGTGTGTGTACATGGTCTTTTTTTCAAAAAATTGCGAAAAGAAAAGAAGAAACCCGAGCACAAACACATTTAAAGTGTGCGTCGCATTAAGGTTTATGTGTGCGAAAAGCCAACTCGCAACATTTGTGTTTGTGTATTTAGGGCCTTAGTTTCTGGCGGTTTTCCCCATTCGTGGATGTCTCGACTCCAAAAATACCTATTTGGGTTCTTCAAAAATATTTTGTATATTAAACATAATTACAATGATGTATTACTTGATTTATATTAAGGTTTTCTCTTAATTACACAACTTTAATTAATTAATAAACCACATTTACAGCGCAATAAGGGTACATTGCTCAAGAAAAATATAGATATTGCATCAAAAACAGCGCCTTCAATATTTGAATTCATTTTGTAGAGCACTGAAAGTGCGTTGCTTCCGCGTTGAAATCAGTTGCGTTTGAGTGAGATTCGCCAGAGATTTTTGGGCCAGAAAAAACACTTTATTCGCTAGGCCATTACCCGTTTCCACCTCCCATCCTCGCGTCCTCCATTACTTTGAGAGTAAATTTATGTTAATAACAAAATCAGAAAATCCTTAAATTGTCATTAGCTAAGCCTTTTTGGTAAGTCCGCTGAGATTTTGTCGCAGCCTTACATATATATATATATATTTATTTTTTTTGGTTCTCATTTGGTTGGCTTGTGCACTGGCGGCAAATTCAGCGGCTTTAACCTGCGACGCCGGGCTTTTAATGGCTTT